GGCATGTGCTTAAGGAAATAATATAAGGATTTTGGAGGGTCTAAATGATCATGTGTCACAAATTATGAAAAAAGGTTCTAATTTGTTATGCTGGTGGGATTGGGCTTAAAATGTCTTAGTAAACCAAATATCTATGAGTTTAGTGCTGCTGGCCAGATTTAGCTTGAGTGGGCTGCAAGTTTTAATTTGAGTCGGTCACACTTCAAATAGCAAAAATGTAGATAGCATTGGATTGTATATATGTGGCTCCCCCATTGAATGGGTGGACATGAGAAGAGACTCGAATTTGGAATTTTTTAAAATATAATAGAGAAAAATCGCTACACCAACAGTTTGTCCGTATTTTTCTTTTGTAAGTACAAAAATAGTATGAACAAAAAACTTTGACTAATAAAATTGCTTTTATTATAAGTACAATGTGTTATTTATGAGTTTCACATAGTAAAAAAGCTTAGCTTGAGACCTTCATTAAGAATGCAATCAAAATATGTATTTTTCAATGCCAATGCGATTTAGTGCGGAAAAGGGTATTAACTTGCAGATTAATAGTCTCAAGTTTGAACTTTCATGACACCTTGTATGACCCCTACCCCTTATAGTTTAGAATTGTTTTTTTTTATTTTCTATGATTTAAAAAAAATAAATAAATAAAACAGCCATCTTTGCCAACGGGATCTAGCCCAATGGAAAGGGGCATTGACTTACAGACTAATGGTCTCAGGTTTAATACCCATGACACCTTGGTAGTGTGTGAGAAACTCCTTGCCTCTTGTAGTTTAAATTACCGCTTCTATTAAAGAAAAATAATAACCCTCTTTTATATGATTAGGACTAGCTTTTATTAGCAAGAAAATGTAATAACCTATTCATCATTAAATTTAGAGGTGGTCATTTGGGTCAACTTGACCAAACCGCCTAACTCAATTATTAGAGGGTTGACCTAATAATGAGCGGGTCTTATGTTCAAAAAATCATAAATCGCTTTGTTTGGGTTAGGTTATGGATTGGAACCAAAACTCTAAAGTGGGCTTGATTTTATGTTAAACCGATTGAATAGCCCAACTCGATCACAAAAGGGTTGAGGTGGCCTAATAATGAGCAAATCTTGGGTCTAAGAAATCATAAACCACTATATATCGAGTTAGGTTACAAATTGGGACCTAAACCGACCCAACCCAAATTAAATTATCTCTCAATCAATCTTGAAAAGTCACTTTACTGTTTTTTTTTCCCCTTTTTTGGTATTATGTTGTTATTTGTTTTGGGGCCTCGTGTGTTTGTGTTGCCTCTCCTCTCTTCTGGGCCATGTAGAAACCTGTTTCTCTTTTCAAATTCAAAAATAAATAAATAAATAAATAATAAAAGCAATATTCCACACCTACAACTTTCGGCTCAAGGTTATGGATCTGTCTTGACGCTGATAGTGCAAGTAGCCAAACTCCCCCTAAACCTTTGTTCGGAAAAAAAAAAATAAAGAGAGATATTATTCAGCATGTCATAGGTTCAAAGAAACAGAAATTAACTGAACATAAACAAAAATTAAGTTAAAAAGTAACAGAAGAAGTTTAGTTTAAAAGAAACAGAAATAACCGAGCAAACCTTGTATTTCTGTGGATGATAATTTAGGAATGTCGCTTACACCTCATCTGCGTCACATTTGATTTCCAAACAAAAGCTGTACAAAAAAACTGCTTTAAATAAACCTAAATTCTTCAAATCCTCATCAAGGACATCAAATTTCGTTGTGGTTAATTCTCTTTGGCCTTCACTCCTCGTTTTAACTCTCTACACGTACAAATGGATACCGATATGATTAGAACCATTGTCGGCATTATTGGTCAGTAAATCTGATGTTTGCTTTTCTTTCTTCTCTTTCTTTTCTCCATTTTCATTTTTTCTAGTTACTAATATTTTCTTGTTACTTCCTGCACAGGCAATGTCATCTCTTTTGGCTTATTTGTCTCCCCAATGTACTCTCTCTCTCTCTCTCTCTCTCTCTCTCTCTCTCTCTCTCTCTCTCTCTCTTACTTAATCACAAAAATCTAATCGTGTTACATGATGGCCATCACGGCTGGAAATATTGCAGCCCAACATTTGTGAAGATAATAAAGCAAAAATCAGTTGCTGAGTTCAAGCCGGATCCTTACATAGTAACATTGCTCAATTGTGCTTTGTGGTCATTCTATGGTCTGCCCATAGTCCATCCTGACAACCTTCTTGTTGTTACGATTAATGGCACTGGACTTGTCATTGAATTCATTTACATTGCCATCTTTTTCGTATTCTCTCCCGGAAAAAATCGCGTAAATAATGTTTAATAAATTCACTAAATTATGTGTTCTTAGACATATTAGTGTCTCATAACATTTTGGTGTTTTTTTTTTCCTTCAGCGAAACATCATCATTGCGCTTCTAGTTGAAGTTGTCTTCTTTGCCGTTGTGGTTTTCATTACTCTACACTTTTTCCATGACACTAAAGGCCGGTCTATGATAATTGGGATCTTGAGTATTGTCTTCAATATCATTATGTATAATTCACCTTTGACAGTCATGGTATGTATAATTTCTATATATTCTAACCTACCAAAAAAGTTAATCATACCTTCAACAACCTAACTGACGATCGCGTAGCTCGGGCGGGGACCTTAGGGTTTTGCCTATGGCTTGGCTTCTTTCCATGTTGTGTTGAGGGGGATATGGATCAAATGACACCATACATGCTGCATTTTGAATGTCTTGGATTAAATATGTATGAAATAGACTTATATGATTTTTGGGTGGCAGAAAATGGTCATCAAGACAAAGAGCGTCAAGTACATGCCATTTTACCTCTCACTCACAAATTTGTGCAATGGAATTGTCTGGACCATCTATGCGCTCCTTAAATTTGATCCCTACCTTCTGGTAATTCTCTAAAAAAACTAATCAAAACCTTTTTTTTTTCTGAATTTATTTTTAACTAATTAACCCTTTTCTTTCAATGACAATTTGATAGCTTCCAAATGGTTTGGGAGCAGTTTCCGGTGCGGTGCAAATCATCCTGTATGCTACCTACAACAAGACCACAAATTGGGATGAGGATGGATGATGAAAAACCAAAATCTCAAGTTCAAATCTCCGACGTTTAGTCAAAGTGGACATTTTGCATGTACATCTTTTGAGACATAAGAGATTGACCTCTTTTGAGACAATTTGTCCAAGAATGAAGAAAATATTTTTTTTACGAAGGGCCCAAGTTATTATATTACCTTATTTGTCAATTCATATTAATTAAGAAAAATATTGTTTTGCAATCATTATATAGAAAATGACAATTAACGGATGAGAGATAGCATTCGGGCTAAGTGATTCAAAGTAATTACTTCCAAGGGTCATTTATTTGAGAAATTAGCCCCTTTTGCATAGAAAAATACTAATATTACACACCTTCTTAACTGAATGCCTCTTAACACATATCTTGATAAAGGCCATGCGAAGAGCGTTAGAGCATCCAACTCCTTAAATTACCTCCTTAGACAAATTATAGGGAAGAATTAGAAAAATATAACTTCAACCATGCTCCTTATCCATCTCCTAAAATAGGAGACCTTTAGGAGCTCCTAAATCTGAGGAGAGAGAAATGACTTTTAGTGGCTTCCTATAATTTAATAATGCTTTATTTAATGAGTATTTCAAACCTTTAATTAATGCTAATTATTTTTTAATAGAGATTGACCAATTAAAAAAGAGTTATAGCATTTATGACTCCCTAAATTAGAGAGCATGATTGGAGTTTAAATTTTATAGAGAGCTCCTAAAATTACTTTTATATGTTTTTAGCTAAAATTTAACTAAAAAATAGAGAGCATGATTATTAATGCTCTTACGTTTTCAGTTTTTGAAAAGAAAAAAATTAATCGTTTTTGTGTAGTGGTTTTTCAAAACCAAAGTACAAGAATATCACCTTTATCATCTTGACAAATATAGCCCCGACCCCAACTTTAGTCGTATACTTGTTATTCGACATGATCAATTAAAAAAATTGCGAAATGAGATTACACAAATAGAACGAAACGTGTCAAAATTTGAATGGCATACACGGCTGAGGTGAACTTAATCCTTTATCCAGTGGGGCGTACAGTTGCGCAGCTGTAAAATATATTAATATTTAAAAAGTACAGCCGACCGGCTATACTCTCTTAATATGTTCTAATACGTCAAACGTATAGCCGTGTGGCTAGACTATTAAAATATAATATCTTAAACGTATAGCCGCGGCTATACTCCTGAAATATATTCGAATATTTTTTAACGTATAACCGCGCGGCTATACTCGTTGAATATAATATTTTAAACGTATAGCCGCGCGGCTATACAACTTAAATATATACGAATATTTTAACATTATAGCCGCGCGGCTATACTCGTGACCATCATTGAGTTTGCAGACACGTGGTGGCTCCTGGCCCATGCCACGTAGAAACCAATGCGACCGTCTGAGAGTTCCCGGACTACAGAAATCTAGACGTGTAAGGTCAGGATCTTCCAATATCCGCGATCTATTCGTGAAAACCGCGCCATTCTTCTAGACCTTTCGGTAATCTTCGCTCTATTTTTCGCGAGCTTTCCTCTCCAGGCCTTTTTATATCCATAATTTTCTTGCCAACCAAACAATCAGTTGCTAAAATCTCTCCTTCGATCAAACGCTTTCCCGCGCGAATCTAAGATCTCTTTCATGTAAGAATCATTGCCGTCTCATTCCTGGAAGATTCTCATTCTTAGCTTTCATTTTCTTTTACTGGAATGAATTATACGCATTTTCCTTCCCTTCCTCAACTAGTTTCCCGAGAAACAAACAGCTCAAAATGTCCTTGAATGCTTATAAACTCAAGTGTTCAAGCTCTGATCTTTAATGGGTCAGCGCAAGTTTCAAACTTTACCCATTTTTAATTGCTTAGTTGCTTATGGGTTGCTCTTGTGGTTTACAGAGTGTGTCTTGTGGTTTCTGGGTCTTTGGAAAAATGAGCAGAGTAGCCGATTCGAGTGCCTTCAATGGGGATTTTGCAACGGCAGTGAACCACCTGCTCAATTTCCCTGAAACCATTGACAAGTTCATGCTCCCTTATCGGGCTCACGAAACCAACAACGAGAACAAAGGAGCGGCTAGCATTCCAGTGGACATTTTGGACTCTCCCAAGGAGTATATATTTTTCTTGGACTTGCCTGGCTTGTCCAAATCTGATATTCAGGTAATTTCCCACTTTCCCACTTGTCCAAATCTGACCTATTTTCTACTTCCTCTCCTGAAATTCTCAGTCTTTCGGAGAACGAATTGTGTGAGTGGTTGGTTTTTTATTTTTGTACATAAATTTTTTATGGTTTTTGTTGATGAATTATGTGAGTGGTAACAATTTTGTGGTTGCAATGCAGGTAACAGTTGAAGATGAAAACACTCTGGTGATCCGAAGCAATGGGAAGAGGAAACGTGAAGATGGGGAGGAGGAAGGCTGCAAGTACCTGAGGCTTGAGAGGAGAGGACCCCAGAAGCTGTTGAGGAAGTTTAGGTTGCCCCAAAATGCGAATGTAGGAGCCATATCTGCCAAATGCGAAAATGGGGTTCTCACTGTGGTGGTTGAGAAGCTTCCTCCACCTCCCAAGCCCAAAACAGTTGAAGTTTCTATCTCTTGAAGCAGACTCACATTGGCCTGTTTGTGGTTTGCTGTCACACTAAGGTTTTGGGCTTTAGGTTTTAGGTTCCTCGTTGCGTTACTTTGAAAATTTCTCTGTTTTGAATGACTTCTGCCCTTCAGAGAATGCTGGTTTGTATGATTATATATAACTAAAAGTTGATTGCTTAGAGTCCAAAATCTCTAAGCATTCATTTTGTATACTGAGCAGCAAGTATTATGCATGTGTAGGTTTTGCATGTTAGTTTGATTGGTTTTTCTACGCGGCTTGAAAATGCAAAATTGGAATGTTTGAATCATTAACAATAATGCCCGTTTGGTTAACGGAAAAGATTTGATGAGAAATAATTTCTCAAAATTTTCCCAAGGAATGAAAAATAAAAGATTTATTTTTCATATTTGATAATCCTGGAAAGTAACAAGGAAATGCCATTTTATTTTCTTTAACATGTTTAATTGGTATAGGAATGTAAAACAAAGTTTGGTTATTTTTTCAATTATATTCATATAAAATTAAATTAAAAAAAGAATACATTTAGTGTTATATTGTAATTCTAAATTGTTAATGAGAACAAAATAATCATGAAAAATGTGTATTTGATGTTTGTTCATTTTTCCAAACTTTATTATGATGAGGAAAACAAAATCAAAGTAGGTAGGAGGACTTTATTTTCATCCTTACTTTCCCATGTGCTATGCAACTATTTCGTATGCCTTGACTTACGAAACATGAGAAATTGAATTCCCATTTCCAAGCCTCCTTTCTCATGAACGAAACGAAGCCTAGTATACAATAATATGGAGCCTAGTATACAATAATATGGAGGTGCTTTTCATGGAAGCCTACGGCTGAAAAAAAAGTTAATGGTACAACTACATATCGTAAACAAACTTGGGATCTTTTTCTGGCTAAAAGTCATAATATATGAGAGGCTCAAGGCAAAAATTGAGGTTTTCCTGGCTTTAAATAAATGCTAATGAAGGATTTAGTCGGATGATTTTCTCTTCTTCCGAGACTTGGGTTTCTTCCTTCTAGATTTCTTTTCAGCAGGAGCATCATTTAGCAAATGCTCATATTCTTCAAGACTTGCAAAGGGGGATGCTGCCGACTTCCCGCGCTTCCGTTTGCTTTTCCTTTGATCATTCTCCTCCTCTTCATCCCCGTCCATGCCGTCGTCTGCATCCCCTATATCAATATCAATAGCATCATCGTCACTTGGATCATTGTCTGCATCGGCATCAAAATCTTCTCCAAAATCTTCTCCGTCCCCACTATCCGATGGCAGGTCCAGCTCGGTATCACTGACATCAGCAACTAAGTCTTCATCATCTTCATCGGCAACTTGGTCAAGATCATCGTAATCGTAGTCACCATCTGCTTCAGTAGAAAGGCCAGCAGAATCCAGCATGCTGTCAATCTCTTCATTATCACTGTCATCACCATTGCCACCATCTACGTCAAACAAATCTGCAGCAGCTTCATCATCTTCTGTTGCTTTCTTCTTCTTTTTCTTCTTTGGTTTCTTTGAAGAATTCATCTTATTCATATAGAACTTGTGGAAGACAAGATCTTCCGGGGCTACATCTTCCTCGGCCAATGAGAGAATCTCTGGTCCAATTAACTGGTTCGTCATGTCAAGCTGGAACAAGAAAACTCTGTCAGCATTGCAGATTAACGGGATTGATATTTGGGCAGTGCCCATAACTATGGCACTCCAATCATTCAAGAGCATGTGAAAAGACAACATCTTCACTTAAGTGAAGGCACAGGGCAAATGGATAATAAGTCCATGGAAGTTCAGAAAACAAGCTGACCTTTTTCGCAGGTTCAATTTGTGAACCACCATGCCATGTACTTTGCTTTGGTTTCTTCTCCATAAATTTGTCCAGAAAAGCAGTAAGTGATAGGTCATTCAGAGGGTTTCCATTGTAGACAATATTGGCCCCAGAGAGTAGCGTCTTTGCCATGGTAGAAACTGAAGGGTGCACATGTGAAGAAAGTACTGTCAGCTCCCACCAGCTCACACGATCTGCATTGCTGTTCACTCGTAAAGAAATTGGAATTAGAAAGTTAAAAGAAAATATAAACAAAAATAAAGGGTGCAAAGCATAAGAAATTCCGCAGAAGGTTGTTACAGAAGAAAACTTGTTTAACCTTTACTTTTTCCTTTCATTATCCTTTACTAACAAAATATTACGTACTGCACAAGTCTTTATTGACTTAATTCATTTTTCTGGTAGCCAGAAGAAATATGGATTCTAGCATTTATACAATGTAGGGAAGCTAAGAAAAGACAACTGACCAATAAGAGGGCTCTCTGCGCCGTGGATCATAGCCTCCAGGCAGCCAAGACCTCTCAGACGGTACTTGTGGTGGTTGCCCATTAAGAGTAGGAGGCGGTTTGGAGTTTGTTAAATCATTTCCCACAAGAAACTCTTCTGCTTCATCAGAGCCTTCATCTTCAGAATAAGAGGCAGGAGAGTCATTATCATCTTCTGAAGAATCATGATCAGAATTGGCAGCATCACTGCTGTGAGCAAGCTCAACATCAAGTTCTTGTTTCTCTGAGACAGGGGTGGGTTTATCATTAGTTTCTTCCTGAACATCTTCAAAATGCTCAAGTTCATCATCAACTGACTCATTCTGGAGCACCATGTTCCTGTTTGGGGATGGCGAAAAATGTGTTTATTTGACAATGTTGAATAAAATCTACAGGCAGATCTCCAAATTAGCACCAGGCTTACCATAAGGGGGGTCTTGCTTTAAGAACTTCTGAGAGGAGGAAGAGGCATCCACATGCATATTGAGGCGGCTGCTGAAGGGCAACCTGTTCAAATCAGTAAATGGTTAGAACATCCACATAAGTGGAGCACAAGGATCCTCAATGCATGTTTTCCTCAAAGAAGCTTACTTAAGATTCAAAAATCCCTCCAAATGATGTAGCACAACAGACGCAAATTCCAATTTGTGGGGTTTTGTTAACAAGATATTCAACAGAAAAGAAATATGTGTAGATATCTAGAAGGAACTGTGCTCTTATGTGGCAAACACGTAAGAATATAGTTAAGCACATACCTGCAGTACACGCTTTGCAAAAGCAGCTGCACGCTTCAGGTTCACATCATTTTTCATTGCTCTCAGAAGAAGTCCAATAAACATTTCTGCCTGAAAAACAAGCCATATAAAGACAGGAAGATATATAATTGAATGAAAGGATAAAAATTGTCGCATCTGAAACTTCAACGTCAACAAACAAGGAGCAAAGGGCTTATCTAACTAATTTCTTATTGATGCATTGTTTCACTTTATCTGTTTGAATAATCATATAAAATGGAAGAAGAGGAATCTGTGTCCCAAGGACACAGGTATAAAACCACCCAGCTCTTGCTGAATCCAATATACACCACAAGGAGGATAATTGTTAGAACCACAAAGCAACGATGAAAGAGACTAATCAACTGTGTGTCTCTTGGTGGCTATAATTCTGTTTTGTAGCCTTCAGGTATTAAGTTGAAAAAATTGAAATCATACAGCAAACTGTAATTTGTTACCATTAAAAAGAAAAATTTGGCCTTGCACACATGAAGAGCACAGGGAACTTTTTGATGTAAGAAGAAGTTTCACAAAAACCATAATGAAGTTTGATTAACAAATAACTCTAAATAACGAGTGTAAATAAATCCAGCTCCACTTGCCTTGGAAGTATTCATGGCAGCTGGAAGTAGTAGTTTTGAATACAAGGCTCTGTAAAACCTATCACTGACGATTTGATTCTTCGATGAGATCTTATCGAGGAGCATCAATGCTTGAACTCCTACGTTAAAATTCTTAGAATGAACCTGCATGAACGGGCACATTAAATTCCACAGGATATAGCTAATCTTCCAAGTAATGAATAGCAAAGCTTTGAGCTTACCAGTTGGAAAAGCATTGGTGTTTGGACCTCGACAATGTCATCAGCCTCATTACTTGAGACAAAGGGAAATGCTCTATTGACTCCCTGTGAAGATGGCAAGGGAAGGGATGTAGAAGTAGTCAGTAAGTTCTTTGAAAAAGCAAAATCTTTTTCTAAGCCCAAAATTCATGCTTAGGTTTTTTCTCTCTTTTTTTTATTCCATGTGTAATTAAAACCTCGTAAAGACACCAAGAGGAACATCTGAGATGGCATAGCTACATTGTTATGCAAGCTAAGAAGCAATTGTCCTAACCATCAGTAGAGCTGATAGAAGGCGTGAATCCAATTCAACATGAGAATCTAATGAACTCTCCACTTTGCTATCCTCAAGAGAACTGAGTGGTTTCTTAACCCCTGCTTTTCCACTTTTATCCATCTTTTCACCACCAGCAGCCTCAGTAATCAGTACCTGAAATATTACTTTGTGAATATTCATTTTCTACTTCCATAATTTAGGCCATTGTGATAAATTGATGATACACTTCAAACATTAGCTGCATTACAAATCCTACATTAATAAGCGCTTGTCTCCTGATCAGCAACATCCAAAAAAGTCATCAAATTAAAGATGCAATGATTTAGTGTATTAGGGACTGCAATCATAAGTATTATTGATGATAAATACATTGAAAAGCAAAAACAGTTCATTATTACCTTGAAAAGTGCAAAATAAACATCTATTAAACGTTTTGCCACCTTCGGCCCATCTCCTTTATGAGTTAGACGCATTTGGCTCAAAAAGTTAACCTGCATACATAAAAGTTTGTTTAACAAGATTCACAAGTTGTACCAAATCAAAATGAATGTAGGCAGTACATGGACATTTTGAGTTCAAATCCATGGCTCATCAAGTACTTAAAATTTAATAGAAAAACGAAAATGCATTTTATTGTAAGTAAATGAAAACCCAAAAAAAATCCAGACTAATTGGTCCAGTACATGTATAGGGGCAATTTCAGACAGCATGGCCCTATACATGTACTGGATCAATTGCCCCTACACATGCATTTTTATATGCAAATATGCTAAGAGGAAACGTACTAGTGTCTGTCTCATCTAGAAATAGGATGTTTAAATTTCCATCTTTTATGAGCTTTATCTCCTTAAAATTTTAACAAAGTTTGTGGTCAAAGCACCTCATGATCATCACTATATGTAGTAACACTATTCCAAGTGTTTTTCCCACCTCTTTATTTATTTAATTTTACAAAACGATATTCTAAACTACTTTAATCTATCGGGAGGGGAATACGACCTCGAGTGCAACAGGGTGGGCACGCTACCCTGGCCAATTGGCCTAATCCACATTTGCCCCCATTTTTCATTTTAATGCTTCATGATTTTATCATTGTAAGTTTTTCTTCTATTAGGTACTCTCTTTTCTTACCCTTTGAGTATGACTTGAACCCCAATGCACCCACTCCTGTAAATGTTTAATTACGAAGCCAAGACAGCATTAGCCTTTGCATTACGTAGTTTAAAGATCCAACATCATAAATACTAAAACTTAATATTTCAGTATAATTTATGGCAGAAAAATCAACCAAAAACAAAATAAATAAATAAAATTAACTATGAAAGCTGAAAATAGAAATACTATACACGCCTAGTCTACATTAGATGCTAAGAATTAAATTATTAGTAGTATTCATGATGAGACATACGGCATGATATTTTGCTTGTGGGCTCAAACGTGGCCGAAAGAGGAAAGAGTCCACCTCGTCAATCACCACTGCCTGTTCAGAGGAGCTCATAGTATAAGATAGGATGCAAGGGCAACAAAATGATTACAAATATGCACACATTAAAAAAAAAAAAAAAAGGAGGAAAAAAAAAAAAAAAAAAAAAAAAAAAAGCGCATGAACTATTCTACTGTCACTATCATCGAGGCAAAGACAGATGATGTACATATCATATAGAAACACAATTTAAACGACACGCTCCTGCGTTCCATGAGTAAAATGTTAAAACGTCCTCTATAATAGAACTGTTTGAGATACTTCTTTCAACAAACAAAATAAATAAATAAACTATTTGAGATGTGCATAAGCATAATGTTCAAACAAAGAGAACACATTCAAAAAGCAGCTCACATTTTTTAGAAATAAAACAATGCCAACGTAATCAGTTAAGACCATATGGTAAAGAAAAATGAAAGGTTGTTACTTCCGTGTCCTGTTCCACTGCAAGAGTTAAAAGTATAAAAAATAAAACTTAAACCGAGTAGCAAAATGAGCTAAACTAAAAATTCTCTACTCTCATATTTGTACAAAGTACCCTACTACCCAAAATTCCCTGAAACCTCATCCGTTGGAAGTTAGAACAAGTGAGCAAAAGCAGCTGACTGAACTCATGAGCCAGAACATATAAATAAAACAAATTAGATTCAGCTAAGCTAGATAGTCGTACCTTCATGTTTGGATGATCAGACAAAAGGTTTGATAAGTGAAAATCAGCATCAGATGCCCCCTTATTTTTAGGGTCTCCCAGCTATATGTAACCAAAAGAACAAAAGTTGACAATGAAGCAGGTTGACAGTTGTAAGGGCCAAAAAAAAAGGTATTTTTCATATATGTAAGTCGGTGAGGCCGAAATCCAGTGTAAACTTACTTTGTTAACTATTGCAGACAATAATCTTCGCTCTTGCTCCGATTTATTCCTTAGCAACACATATATAGTCTGAAAGCAGTTATTTAAATAGGAAATATGGATCAAAACTCTCATGTCAGCATATTACAGATGTTACAAACAACTTCAATTAGATCACCACTAAAAACAAATAATGTTTGCATACAGATCTTTACTAAATTTCATCCTTTTGTTGATAAGCATACCATGCGACCTTTGATTTTCTTTTTTAGATAACTTCAATTATGTAACCTTTTTTTTATTTTTTTATTCAGCAATTGTGAGACCTTCGAAAATCATGAGTTGCAACATGGATCTCCAGACTTAATGCCTGTTTTCATATGAAATAACATTTAACATGAACGGGGAATAGGGAATAGAATGTGTAAATTTTTACAACAATCAACCAACATAGGAATTGTCACCCCAGCCTTAAACTTACATATAAGAAATCAATATATGAGACAATAACATGCTTAGAAATACAAACAGATACATATTTAGTACAAACATGCTTTCCAAGTTTCACTTTGACCAGTGCTTTGAAGAAAATACATGAATTGTGTTCAATAAAACTTTTTGACTGGAGAAAATAAATGTTGAAACTTCAAAACTTCAAGAACAATAAAAAATAGTATTCACTGAAAAATGGGCAATTACACTGGCAGCAAAGTAACAGAAAGAAAAGGAAAAAAACAGAGAGAACCCCAACCTTCAATGCCTTGTTTTTCAGTTCAGGTAACATATCTCTTGATGCTTCCTCGAGAGCAAAAACAAAGCGTTCATACCTGAGATGACAATAGTCGTATTCATGTTAGGAATGGGAGCAAATTTCCTTGAATGAATTAAAACTAGGGAGTTTGACTAAAACACCCAAAATGGGGGCTGAAATTATAAAAAAACCCAACACTCAAAACACTTTATAAACACACCCAAAACCCATCATTACACACACTCAAAACCCATTTATAAACACACCCAAAAAATATACAATTGTTGATTTTAGGGTTGATTTTGGGTGTGTTTTTATGTTTAAATAGTGCTTGGATTTTTTTATAAATACATGTCTAGGATTGGGTTTATTTATAAATTTGTATTAAAACTATTCCACCAAATAAGACATTAGTTTTTTGGCCATCTAGGCCATTGGAAGTTAAACAATACACGCAATAACATTTTGGGCAAAAAGGAAAACAAAAACCAATACCTTTGTTTCAAGCACTCCTCCCAATACCATAGAAGTAGAAGAGAATAACCATCTTTTGTCTCAGGAACATTATTTAATGGCCGCTGTAAGAGGCTCTTAAGCTTACGATCAGGTAATAAACTGGCAAAAAGAAGTATATATGCAGATCAGAGCAAAGTAAGGTGTATGAAATCATAAATATGCAAAGTTCAACTAATTTTGTGTCAAAGTTCTGATACAAAGTTAAGTGGACAAACATACACCATCAATTGTTACCAATCACAAGAAAAATGGTTTCTTACTAGAATTTACATGATATCAGATTTCTCTTCAATTATTTTTTGCCTTTTCCCTTTTGTTAAACCATATAAGAATATTAATTTTCTACAGGAATGTCAGACCATGCAACATAAAACATGCCAAACTTGGGGACCTTCAACTTCACTTACTGCATGGAGCAAAGAAGGATAATAAAAAGTATAGCACAAAATATGATCATTTCTATAATGAGGCACTGGACTTCAGTTCAATTTTTGAAGCATGGTCATAGATGGATAATAGTTTAGGATGGGCTTGTTTGGTAGTACAAACTTTTCTCTGTGGTTTGGGCGAGAGTTTCACTAGCTCTGGAGTTTTGTTTGTCAGTGGATTGCACTGTCTCTTCTGTACTACCTCCACTTACTGTGTGAAGTATTGGAACTTCATTGCACTTCTTTCTGGTGAATAAAAGTAGTTCTCCGGCAGACCTCACGCACACACACACAGACATACTAATCATGATGCACACCCACACACATAAACACATACTAATCATGATACACACATCAGAGGAAGGGAAGGAGGGAGGGAGAGAGGGAAGGAGAGAGAGAACCTTGCAAGAAACAATTCTCTCAATGCTTCAAAACCTGCGAATGCATATCGCTTTCCCACTTTTGATGTCACCATTCCTACAACAAACAAGAAGTTCCAATTAAAGTAAACTCAAAGATTCATCAAAATAAGGCCAATCAAGGTTCGAATAGAAAGAAAGAATCCACATGCAGCATTCCACAGAACCAAAGCACTTCATGTTGATAATTTGATATGAATCAACTGAGATTCTAGAGTGATTGTAGTAATTAGCCTCCGACCAAATGTAATATAGGCTTAAAATAACCAGTAACATTCGGTATTTGCATTTCTCTTGCTGAGTGAACCTAGATGATACATTCAGCAATAAAGTATCATGTAGAGTGAGGCAAAAAGCAGAGACTGCCAAGTCCAGATAGAAAAAAATAAGCAAAACCACATGGAATACAGAGTCTACAATTCTAAGAATCAGAAATCACCACACACACACATATTACAATGTGAGCATCCAACCCAAATCTAATTGGTAATTTGGAGAAAGGCCTAAAATCTTTTAAACCCTAAGGAAAAGTGATATGGGATACTCTCAGCAAAACACACCTAGAGAAAAATGAAGCACAATGAACCACCTTTGCTTACATGTGACTAATTACAAACTGCAATATTACCTATAAGTGCATCAAGAGACCTCATATTGGCAATGGGATTGTCCCCAACCAAGACAGAGAACGCCGATATCTTATCGGATGCAGTCCCGGACCTCTGTGTGGTAAGCAACAGCTTAATATCCCCACTCTTCCCTTTCGACGACTCATAGTCAGCTACGTATTGCACCATTAACCTCTCTCCAAGCTCTCTCTTCTTGGCCACCACACTCTTCCACTCCTCCGCATTCCTCACCTCCGCTTTCTTCCCATTCGCAAGCACTTTCTTTTCCAATTCCTCAGCTTCTTCATACCACACTCCCAAGTTGCTAGCTGCTATCAATGGCAGCTTCGGAAGGTTCTTGAACTTCTCAAAGTTCTTTGCTTTCTCCTTGTTGGTGTTGTCTTCCAGTGAAGAAAGAGTGAGTTTCGGCTTCGATGAATCGGGTTTTTCATTGGATTTGAAATTCTGGTTATTTGGCTTCTGGTTTTTTGTGGGTTTTTGGTTTGGAGCTGGTTTTGGCTTCTTTTGGGGTTTTCTGGGACCAGGTTTACGAAAATCAACATCGTTGAAGCCTGAAGAAGACGATGGTGGGAGAGAGGTTGCGAGGCCGAGGGAGGAAGCGAAAGACGCTATGTCAGACTTGAGGTGCTCTATATCGTCTGAGTTGTTTGCAGGTTTCTTAGATTTTGAATCCGCCATTGCTAGCTACGGAATGAAACGGTACCAGAAAAACAGACGAAGGCTTGCAGTTGGAGATAGTAGGGTTTAACGAAGCGGGATTTGGATCCAGGTCTGCTGGGCTTAACTCTGGGTTTTTCTATGAGGCCTATGGTTGAAATTAATGGCAAGCCCTTAACACGATGGATCTTAAGTTTGGGTCATTCTGTATCTGTACGCCCATAATTTTTTTTTTTCAATAGAAAAATATCATCGAAGTTTGTCCTTGAAAAATCGAAGTTTGGGTCTTCTTTAAGGAAATGAACATAAGAAGGCAATAAATTTGTAGCTAAAGTGATTATGACCGGTTATCTCTCAATTCGAGATCATATGTTCTAAAACCCAGCTTAACAAGTCAAAGTTCATTCTAGCCCGTAATTATGTGTGGGGTAGTCCGTCCTAGTTCAAATTTTGAATAGGATTTACATAATGTTTGAAGAGAATCGGGACATATGGGTAGGTTTGGAGGAAAGTATTTAAATTCAAAATCGGTCCGAAAAATGTCCATACTTGAAATGGTCCGGTTCAAATTTGACCCGAATCCAAAATTTTATGGCCAAACCATTTCAATTTTACCCAAACCCGAAATTTTATGGCCAAGCCAAGTGTCGAACCCTACTCTAAAAACGGGTGGATTTATTGGTTTTTCGAAGAGAAAAAGAACCAAAAATAAAAACGAAGAGAAAGAGAAGCAAAGGGTTGCAAGGGTTTTATTCCCACCCAGCCTCTCATATATAAAGGAAACAAACTCGCCGTCTTGCACCTCACAGCCTCGTTTTCACTCTAGCACACAAAACCTCCAGGAGGGATTCTAGGTTTTTCAGAGGCTCATCTCTCTCTGTCGAAGTCTTAACCATGGCGACCAACGCCGCTGCACCTCCGCGTCAGCTCTCTCAGAAAGAGGCTGACATCCAGATGATGTTGGCCGCTGAGGTCCATTTGGGCACCAAAAACTGTGACTTTCAGATGGAAAGATATGCCTTTAAGCGCCGCAATGATGGTATATATATCTCGCTTTCGTCAGATTTAGTCATTTTCTTAGTCTTTGTTTATGCTTTTGTTTTTGTATGGATGCTGAGAAACTGCATTTGATATAAATTTGAAAGATCAGATTTTTTATATTATTATAGCTGTTTGTTTGTATGGTGTTTGAAATGATGGGTACTATTAAATTTGAGCTGAATTGCCTGAGAACATCTTTTCATATTGAGTAACTTTTGCTTTTGCCAGATCTGTATGGGTCGTTTAGCTTTAGTATCAGTTGATAGTTCTGGTATATTTTATTTCTCTAATGTTCCTTTGGATTAAATGTTCTTTTTTGCCTATTTAAACAGCTTCATTGGGTTGAACTTAATTGATTTTAGAAGATGAAATGTTTTTCTGCCGTTTGGGGACTGTTTCTTAGATGAACTTGTTATACCATACCAATACTGTGAGGAGTTAGTTTTGTATTTTTGATTGCACAGAGTTGTTGTCGAGCTAGATGAACATTAAACTCTACAATTTCGGTTGCGTGGCGACGAGTGGTTGTGATGCGCATTGATTAGGCATGAAATTGTGCTATCTGCGTAGTTCTCCCTATTGTCTTTCATACCTGTTGATTTAATCGGAAATGATCTTTTGTTATTGAATTTGAAGTTGGTGCTTAATTACTAAATTTTGTCTTTCTCAGGAATTTACATTATAAATCTTGGCAAAACCTGGGACAAACTTCAGCTGGCGGCCAGGGTGATTGTTGCTATTGAGAATCCCAAGGATATAATTGTACAATCAGCAAGGCCCTATGGGCAGAGGGCTGTCCTTAAGTTTGCTCAGCACACTGGTGCTAATGCAATTGCCGGGAGGCACACTCCTGGTACCTTTACCAACCAGATGCAGACTTCTTTCAACGAGCCCCGTCTTCTCATTCTGACTGATCCAAGAACTGATCACCAGGTGATGATCGTCTTTCATTTCGAGTAATGGAGTTTTGTGCTATGTTAATTTTGGGATTCTTGCAACTGTAAAAATGATGTGACTACCCAGGCCTCTGTGAAGTTAGAAATCTTAATTTATTTGTGATGCTGTATTTGTTATTTCTCAATTTTATTCTGCTCCTTTGTCTCATTGTGTTCTAATAATCTTTATTTACTTGCAGCCAATCAAGGAAGCAGCTCTTGGAAACATACCCACCATTGCCTTCTGTGATACTGATTCTCCTATGCGTTATGTTGATATTGGCATCCCAGCTAATAACAAGGGAAAGCACAGCATAGGATGTCTGTTTTGGCTCCTAGCAAGGATGGTTTTGGAGATGCGAGGTTCCCTCCGTCCAGGGCATAAGTGGGATGTCATGGTATATTTTGCTTTAATTTTGAAATTCTATGCCTGAACTTCTGTGCCTTATTTTTAAGCAACTAGAGGGCTTGTTTAAGAATAGTTTTTAAACTTCTTAGTTTCACCCAAATTTCTATTGGCAGGTTGATCTGTTCTTCTATAGAGAGCCTGAGGAGGCCAAGGAAAAGGAGGAGGAAGAAGCTGTTGCAGACTCAGGTTATGGAATGGGTGGATATACTGCACCCGGTATTGATCTTGGTGGTGATCAATGGCCTACCCAAGCTTCTGATGCTACTTGGCTAGCAGATGCCCCTGCAGCTGCCCCAGCTCCTGGTGTTGGCTGGAATGCAGAACCAGGTTTCACTTGTCAACCTTTTTTAATTTTGTAAATTTTTGCTCTATGTAAAGTCATTCTGTGGTTAGCTCATTTCCTCCTGGATTCTGCAGGGTGTTAGAAAATATTTAATGCTTGAAAGCAGGAATTCCTGTGAACTATAATGTTTTTTGGCTATGAAGTATGCACGTGTTTTTTCCCCTCTACCTAATCTGACAATTATTCTTTTTCCCTGTTTCGTTTATGTTCGATTTCAGCACCTTTAACGGCAGATGTGTGGGAAGCTATTCCACCAACACAGGCTCCTGTCCCCTTGGTTGAAGGTGCAGGTGCTGCTCCTGCCACTGGCTGGGAATGAGCAAATTTTGGAAGAGCGTTTATCACAATGTCGTTGAATTTGTAATGCGGCTAGGTTTTCTTTTATTCTTCTTTGGGTTAACTTTATGACTCCATTTTGAAAAATGGAATTGTTTTTGAAACTATTAAGTTCTAGATTTGAGTTTTTCTTGGAAATCTTGATAAGATGTTATCCTTGTATGAATTAAATATGCTTCTTTTTAATTATGTCTTAATCTTTACAAAAAAAAAGTTTTTGAATCGATTGTGATTCCCCCTTATTTCGGAATGCTCAGAATGAAGTTGTTTAAAAGCTTATGGAAATATTTTTGCTTACTACTTTTAATCTAAGGTGAATCTTCACCACTCAACACTTGACATGTGTTTATAAGCGTAACTTTAGTTAACTTTTGCTTTTGCTTTGTATTTAACCTTCTCCTAAACCTTCTCTGTTAGACTTGATCTCTTCTCCTAAACCTTCTCTTTTAGACTTGATCTCCTCTTTATGATATGTGTCACTTCTCTTTTGCTTAAATCAATGTAATTAGTTTTTAATTAAAAATATATATCAATTGTGTTTTCATATTTGCCCTTGATAGAAGCTAAACTTGCTAAAGGGTCATAAACCAGTCCAATTCTCCTGTGCCCTTAACAAATTTTATTTTAATCAACGTGGAAAACACAAAAATTAATTCTTAAAGATAAAACAAAAATCAGACCACCAAGAAAAAAGAACACCCTACTGGCAAATTCCTTCCCCCCCCTCCGGGAAAAACTCTCTCATTCTCTTTCCCCCATCACCAAAAAGTGCTTTTGATAAATGCAAATATTAAAAATTAAAATTATAAAAAATAATATGAAAATTTTATACGTTGATTAAAATTAATGAAAAATGAAAATTTTTGTTAAGAATTATTTCTTAAAATTAACGTTGAAAATTTTACACAAAAATTAATTCTTAACTTTTTTTCATTTTTTCTATATTAAAAAATGAAAAATAAAATCGAATAATGTGTCCTATTTTATTGTTTTAACTTCTCTCGTAGGAGTATTTTATAGTATTAACTTTTTTATATTTAATGTACAAAAATTCAAAGCATGTTGGTAATACTTATATTATAAACCTTCATAATATACTGATAGCAAAACAACTTCAACAAAATTCAATTCAGTTTATATTTAATCCAAATATTATAGTTTTGATAAACCAAGAAGCAAAATAAATTTCTTCACCTGATTTAGGCCCCGTTTGGGATTGCTTTTTTTGGCCAAAAATATGCTTTACTTTAAAGTTCAACAGTTTTAGGTGTTTGGTAAAAATAAAAGTGAGACTTTGGAAAAACCCAAAGGAGAGAGAAATTTTATAAAAGAAGCTAAAATGGACAAAATTGTCCTGATTTATTTTTGGATTTCCTAAGAAATTCTTTACATTTGCATGTCTTTGATTTGAAAATTGAGAGGTTTTTCTGTCTTTTTTGAAAAAGCTTTGGCTTTTTCCTAAAGTGAAAATTTTTTTATGACTAAAACCTAAATTTACTAAAATAAAATATCTCGATTATTTTAAAAGCAGTGGCCTTTTGACAGCAGCTTTTAAAAGCAGGCTATGACTTGCTTTTCAAAGCTGCTTTCAAAAGAAGCAGAGATGAACCTTTAATGAATTTTTTTAATTCCCAAAATACCATCATTTATTTTAAAAAATAACACCACCTCCACTTCCACATCCAACTCCACCACTTACACCACCACATTCACTACCTCCACAACCACCGCCATCGCCACCGCCACCACCACCACCACCACCTCCTCCACCACCACCACCTTCACTTCCATCTCCACCATAACCACCACCACCAACTCCACCTTCACCTCCACCACCAACACTACCACCACCACCACCACAACCACCACCTCCTTCAAAACCTCCACATACACCACCACCTCCACAACCACCACCACCACCACCACCATGCTGCCACCTCCACCACCATGTTGTCACCACCACCACCTCCACAAGCGCCATCCCTACCACCACCACCTCCACTCCATCACTACCACTACTACCACATGATTACTACATAACACTTTTAACATCATGTCTATTTTAGTCATTATTCACAGTTACAACAATTTTATATTAAAACTTACCAAACGGTTTTGACACTGCTTTTTGTACTAACAGCCCTTTAAAAATATTGTTTACCAAACACGGAGCTGCTTTACTTTACAACTAATTATTTTCAAAGCACAACAGAAGTAACTTTTTTTAAAAGTGACAGCAATCCCAAACTGGGCCTTAATGTATTTCATTTTATATTATTCACACTCATTAATGTAAATAATAAATGAGTAAATAATAATAATAATATGTTATTACTAATTTCATTTTAAAATGTAAATTTATAGAACAGGCCTTGCATCTGTGAGACCAAATTCGCTAATTTCATTGGAGAGGATTTCATCCTACCTTTGGAGATGCTCTTATTCGAAAGAACTGCAATTCTTGGGTTAAAAGTCTTTTTGGTTTGAGATGGTTATAGCGCCTTCCAAAAATATAAATAAATAAAATTCGAGTTCGGCTTTTGTTTGTTTGGTTTTTTTTTCCCATCTATGTGTATTTGAAATCTTCAAGCTTGACATGCTCAAGCTTTGCTCGAAAATTTTATTTTGGGTTGAAAAATCACAATAACTCAAAGAAAAATCTCTACACATGTCAAATTGTGATTGGTAAGAAAGTATGGAGACACGTATTTTCCTTTAGTTTATGAGGGGATATTGTCCAAATAGGCACTAGGTTATTTTATTTTGTATTTTTCCATCCATCTTGCTTTGTGAGAGCAATTTAAAGCTATGTTAACGCAATTACCACATCACATGCCCTTGCTCCTTTTTCTGTGAGTTGTGCTGAGATAACCATCACTTGGTTGTGTAAATGCCTTCCACCATTGCAAGTTATGAAATTACCAGCAAACCAATGACACAATCTTCTTGTATGTCAATCAGCAAACCAATGCCTCAAGCCACTCAGCCATACCTTAAAGTTTGATTGGAGCTTTATGTGCAGGGTTTGATTGGTTGCCCGAAGGGTTTTCCGATCCAATCAGGGTTTCTCTTGGATCACCTCTCTCTATTACTTTTCTTGAGGACAGTAGGTTTACTCACAAATGCTGCCAAGTTCGATGCCCAAAAGCATTGTACTCCTCAAGGTGAACAAAATTTTTGGTGCATTACCACCTGACCGGCACAAATGCATACACAACAAATAAAGTTGAAAAGAAAATGAAATGAAACAAAACCTGGACCTGCATTGAGCTTGAAGGGAGCAAATTTGTTGTTATCTAAATAATATCTACAGGTAATTAATTTTAGAGATATTAGAACCTACAAGAAGCGGTTGAGTTGACAACAACTGTAAGAGTTGCTTATTGCTTCTTTTCTTTACTTGCCCCTATCATGACAATGGACCTTATGACAAGATAAACTGTAAATTCTCAATGATCCAAGAATTAATTTTCACCTTGAAGAATATATTTCTCAGCACATCCCAGCACTATGCTCTTTTGGTTGATATCTTACCATTTATTTCATGTACAGGAACCCAAATCCTTCGGACGGGTTGAGTCAAAGTTATGATGCAAAACCTTCTAGTTAGCTTCAAAGAAACAGCAACTCCCCGTTATCTACCCAGTTCATGAAGCTTTTTGAATACTGGAATATGCCGTTATCATCACTGAGCTCAGATTCACATTGCTCTTTGCCCTAATAAATCAGAAAACAAGGCCTTCAGAATTTGTTTCTATGCTAAAAAATGCAGGAAAATAAAGATGGCAAATTTTAATGGTTCCAAAGATCTAACAGAATATGGCAAGTCTGGAAATCAATCTTAGGCGGTGGAAATCAATCTTAGGCGGACATCAGTTGTACAAAAATCAAAAGCAACTAAAATACTTTAAAATAGCATGATTCACTTGTTTCATAAATTCAGTAGCCATAGTTTCTATGAAATTAGACCATCCCTTTTCAGACTGTCCTACACCCCTCCAATTTTTAAGATGTACCATAGCCTGCAGTCGTCTGCTGTAATGTCATTACCGTACTTCTTTTCTTTTCCTTTAGGGATAGTTAGTGAGTAATGTCAATGGATATATACCAAGGTATTTTGATCTATCATTCAAAAGGTTCCAACTACTTTCCTCTATTTTTATTCTGCAAAACATGGTCAAGTGGTCACAGAACAAAGAATGCTATGGCAGAGTTCTCCTTATCTAAGTGCAGTAGAATGGTATAACCAACTTATATTTTGTCTGTTCATCAGGAAAGTTGCTAATCTTCTCTAAATAAACACAAGTACTAAAACAGTTTCATGTAATTCCAGCAAGAAGATAAAAAATAACTCACCTTTTTTGTGGATCCTGATTCACTTACAGATGTACTCGTTTCAACCTTTGGTCCATTCACAAGATTCTCCGACGAAACGCTGGCAAAAGACCTACAGACAAGAACCAATTATCAGTTGTCAGAACTAGGAAGTTCACGCTCAATGTTGCCAAGTCTAATCTGCATGCTTATTTTTGCGAGGGAAGGAGTAAGTACCTTCCATATGTTTCTTCTTCACATGAATTTCCAGATGAAGACAACCAGTCCGAATTCAGAAAATTTGAGAAGTTACAATCATAATCATGCTCATCATAAAAACTATTATCACTTTGGAGGCATTGGTCTTCTTGCATCCCGCTAAAAAGCTGCTTGCAAGGCACTGGGGAAGTGAACCTACAAAAGAACATTGTTAGACTGGAAGTCGGGTTGACATACAAACCTTTTAGACCAACTTCAACTATCCTTAACATTGGAAAGGAAAAAGTAATTGTTGTAGGCGTACACCAATAAAGATAGACCGACCATTTAATTTCTTGGCTTCGAAACTTAAAAATGTTGCAATATATTCTCTTGGTAACAAGTATATGAATTACAATTCAAGCATACCTGCAATAGGATATCTCACTTTCACAAGTTGGGATTGCTGGTGCAGACTCTGAAATCCCCTTGCTACCTCCGTGTGCAATTTCAGACAAAGGCTGATTGTGTCCTACATCTGTACTTGCTATAGGTGAATCACTTTCGGAAAGCATATGGCCATCAGATAGTGACCTTTTGATAAATGACCTACACATATAGAAAGTGGTCTTTCAAGTCATATGTAGAGCAAGTCACAGGTTATTTATTCGTTTTAGTAACATCAGACAGGCAGGAGACTGGAACTGTAATATTGATCGATTGACCTTTTTCATAAGAAGTAACAATAGATTTACTTCTCATCCTCATAAGCAGACAATTATTTTTAACCCTAAATATCATCCAGCCAGATATCAGAGATCTGGGATTACCAATTCTATGTTCACTAAATGATTAAAGAACTTTTATAAGTTGTTAAACCAATAAGAGTTTTACGTATAGAATTTCAACACGAAAATTATTGTGCCCTTTTAGTTCAATGCCTCCTGCAGCAGCAATATAAACCTAAAGAGATATGAGTCACTCCAGTACAGAGACCAATGTTTCCAATTATAAACGTATCCAGTGATAAATTTGAGGACTAAGTTTTACTGTATCCAGATATCTAAAACGTATGAAGCAGGTAAGTATACGGCAGAGATTATCCCATATTGACAGAAAACTGGAACTTAAAAGAACACTGGATATGTGGATATGTGTGCATGAATATGTTAACTATTTCCAATGTTGGTCTCCCTCTGAATTTCGATTACAGAGAACAAACAGACAGACCATTTCATACCTAACATTGTCATTACGCCTCCCCACATTGTAATGCTGGTCTGAATCCAATTCCCACAGTGCTGGTTTACCCTGTAGTGGTTGATAGTGCCCTAGGAATCTGCACAATTATGAAGAGAAATAGTGCATTCATTAGATTACATTATTCCCAAGGAAATATACAGAGTATATCAAGGTACAATTTCCAGGTTCCTTGAGTTTTCTTTGAGAAAAAACAAAGGCAACTATTAACCTGTTAATTACAAAAAAAAAAAGGGCTTATTTGACTTACACATTAATAGCATCTTGTTTCTCAGCATCCATGTAGGCATTACTGTAAAACCGTTGTAGAGTTCTAAAGAACTCCTGCGATTGAGTTGCTGCCTTCCATTGGCCTCTAGTCTCAGAGAATATCTGTTTCAAACAATTTATATCAGATACCCAAAAGTTGAGATCTGAAATCATGCAATTTAAGTACTCTTCTGCAGGAGATGTTTAGAAGGGTTACCTTATTGTGAGCTGCAGAACCACCATACTGTAGTGCAAGTGTGTCACCCATTGCCTCATAAACTCTCATCAAATCTTCAGCCAGAGGGTTATCTAGATCAATATCTGGGGATTCTGTAATTCCTAAAGCATGCAGCTGATGTCCAAGACCAACTAGCCCATAAGCATATTGGGCAACGTTTGTGCGATCTAAACAGTCGATACAATTGGTCCTCAGGACTCCTTTTTGAAACATTGGGGATCTGACGTCATAATTTCTGCTTGCATCGTCACTACCATTGCTAATTTCTGTTTCTAGGCTATCATCATCCTCATCTTTTCTGGAACAGCTATGTTGCAAGCACTTACCACTATCATCATTTTTCCTGCATCGCATCAAAGTTGTAGGCATTGTAAATAGCTTGCAAGTACTTTAAACATACATACTTTGAAACACCTACGAGTATATATGGTTATATGTACCTACTTTAAAACTACTGAAAAACAAATCATATGACATAGGAATACCAAGCCAAAAGGCGGTCTCTTGACAAGAATAACTTACTCAAAGAAGGAACCCTTCAATAATCCTTCAGGCCCTAAATTAGGAGTTACTTGACAATAGAAGATTCCAGTCAAACCCAATGCAAACGTAGCCACTCTTCCTAGATCTGTCAACACATTGGTAGCTTTGCTGCAAAAGATACAGGTTCTATTAATCTCAACCATACTTTTAAGTCATGACATTCTTTTTATCTATAATACAAAGGGAAAAGCTAGTACCCTCTGGCATGTTTGTGCAGATCCCAATGGAGAAACCTTAGACGACTCGCATCTGTTAAACTCTTATTGATATATGTGATAGCATTTGCAAACTCTGCACGGAGAATTGTTTCTCGAGGCTTCTTCTCACATTTCTAACAATAGCAATCATTATTGCAAGAAGCAAATAAGGGAAGACAGTTGAAGGACAGGAATAGCAAAAAGCAAAGCATGGATGCCCATTCAAGTAAACAAGTCCTACCTTAATCAGATTCAAAATAATTATTGGATCTCCATATCTCTGGACAAGATTTTCAAAATGAAGTCTTGTCGCCTCGTAATTATGATCCTTCCTCGATACTTGCAAAATATAGAATGTCAGTGAAACATATGAGAAATAACCACAGAGAATAAGATAAAGTGGGTGTTCTGAAGTCATACATATTATGTCAGGTTTGATATTTAGACGAGAGGTTTCCTGGGACCAGAAAAGGGGAATTGAGCCTCGGTTCTGCACAATAGAACTTATTTGCACTGGGGATCCTCCAGCAGCATCTTCAATAACAATCTGTTCTGTCTCAACATCATTAGCTACTCTACCCTTCTCATTTACACCTCGCTTTAAATATCTGCACATGTGGGAACTCAGGTGTATGAGACATATCTAAAGAATATAGCATTAACAATTAACTAATACAGGAAAGAGCATTAGCAGTATACAAACCTGGTGCCAGCAAAGTGGCGAGAACGTCTGGCAATGAGGGTCAACTTGAAATCCCTGCCAGATACAGAAAGATTGACCTGGATATTGAAGCATGAAACCATTAATATCATATCAAACTTTTCAAGTTTACCATAAAAGTACAAAACAATGTGCACAAAACTTCCTTAGGAAAACCTATCAAGGATGAAATCCTGCATTAATCACTACACTGTCAAAGTCATGGGACATGGGTACAACTAATCACAGACCATACTGTCAATTTATTCTGGCAATTCTGTAAATATTAAGAAATAGAAAGCGCTCCCAAGTACCGGACTTACGAAAACATTAACAAGCTAATACCTAAAGTTACCAATTACAAAATGTAACATCACCAAGATTTTCAGACTTTGTAAATGGGTAAAATAGTGACACACATACAAGGACAAAAATAGCAAACTGAAGGAAATTCAAGTGCAAAAGAAGTTCTGGCATGCTCTGGTAAGAAATCACTCAGTTTCCAGTTATAAGCAGTGCCACTGAAGCAATTAGCGTTATTACCTGTTTAAAGAATCCATACACCAAGGCAACTGTCCAGAGAGTATTCTTCAGACTATTTCGGATTCCACGAGTCAAGTATTCGTTCCAAACAAACATTTTTTCATAAAGGATTGGTCCTGTCTTATTATCACATAAGTTCTTTTGCAAACTAGACATGACATGGTATGAATAGCTGAAAAAGAAGTCCTTTGTGAGATCCACTGTGCATAGGAGCTTCTTGTATCTATGTCAACAAGAAAAGGAAAAAGAGGAGTAATGTACATCAATAAATAACTTTATAATTTAAACAAGTGGGAAAAAAAAAGTACTGATGAAACAACTTTATGAAGTACAAATATTAACCAGAAAGGGGAAAAAAAGGAGAAAAGGAAAGAAATTGATTTCCCCAGTGAAACCCTGATGATACCTTGTCTCATTCAATATTTATATTTACATCACAATGGCAATGAAGTTTGCCCCTGCACATGAACTGGCAAGGCAAGTGGCAATAGCCCCTAAAAAGCTTAACAAAGAAGGATCTAACAAAGAACATTTCACATTTATCAAATCAAAATAGTCCAGATTCATTATTTGCCTTATCTTAGAAATGACAAACTAAGGTACCAGAAGAACAAGAGCCAAGTCTGGATCGAGAAGGCCCACATCATTAATTTCACACTGAGGGGTGCTTTAACTATTAACAATATAGTACACAGATTATCTCCACAATGAAGAACTTTCTACTACTAGACTATTTTCCCCACACAAATTAATTGAAACATAAATAACATAACACCATGGCACGATTCTTATCGAACTACAAACTGGCAAGGTAAAATTCTGAATACTACTCTCTTAGAATGCTTTAGAAGTACCAAGTACATATTACATTTACATACAAAATGGACAAAAGACCTGTTCTCATTCTTAGAATTAGCCAATTTTGATCGCACAGCAGGATTTGGAACTGGGATCATCTCGCTCTTGGAAATTGCATAGATTGTATGGCCACAAATCGCTCCAATTTTCCTTCTTTTTGTAATAATTAGCATGTAATAAGGTCCCAGAAATTTCACGAACCCTAAAATCAGAAGAAAACATCTTAAGATTTTAAAGTAAGAATGCAAAAGATGGCAAAAGGATAAAACCATGCAAAGAATTCATACCAACAATTCCATAACAAATGGTGATAAATTTAAGTCCACCCATTGATTTGTTTCCTTCATGTATTCGTTTTAGAAGGTCGTAGCACTCATCATCCGAATATGTTGCAGGATCTTCAAGAATGTTTAACTCAGATGGATCCAATCTGTCAACCTTTAACACCCTCCAAAAGGTTCTGCTTTTGTCTCTTCCTATCATATAAAAATTCTGTTGCATACAAAACTCGCATTAATAATAGATGAGCTCAACATTGGCACAACAATGAGGTGAAAGAAAGAAACAAGCCAATGGATTCACACTTTTTTTTTCTATGTTCCTAAAAGGAGAGCAATAAAACAGACAGATTTCAACAACCGAAGGCATTAATGTCCAATTTCTATCTGAAAGAGTTAAAAAGAGATTAGATTTCCAAATTAAATAGGAATAGAAAGAGATTGTAAGGCCAGTATTCAAGCTTTATTGCCCTGAATTTTAATAACAAATCAAATTAGATGGACAGCAGGTCAAGATTTGCAAAGGCTCCCGGTTCTGTGTAAGAACTAGCAGATTCAATGGCAAAGCCTATCCGGAAATCTGCATCAATGAAATTTAACATATGTACATACATATAGACATATATGAACTCAAACTAACTAAAAATAAAAAACCCAAATCATAAAGTTGACTAAAATCAGTGTAGAATCAGAACCAAAACTTAAAAACTGTTCAAATCTCAAATATTTGTGCCAAAACTGAATTGGAATGAGTTCAACACCATCCTCCTCCAAGTCAAATCCAGCTTTACAGAACTAACATTAGCAATCTAGCAGGATGCGTATTATGCTGATCCAGTCAATGCAAAAAACCAAAAAAATTGCAAAAAAGAAAAGATCAAAATCAATAGCAACTAGCAGTCATGCATAAACAATTCTAACACACACACACACACAAACAAGAAACCAAATAGTATATGCATTCCAAAAATCAAAACAGATCAAAGCTTGAAACACGCATATATATGAACATGTACAGTACCGAGCGAGTCTCGTAGAGCTTGAACTTCTGCAAGAAGCAAGAATTCGGTTGTTCTGGTTCGAGCCGATTAGGGAGCTCTGTCTCGGAGTTCATGATTTCGGATGAACCCGAGCGTCAAAAAGCCCGGGCAAAAGCTTATATTCAAAACCTGTAAAAGCACTCTAAAACCAACTCTGCTAAATATTTTTGAGAACCTCAAACTTTATATATACAGAGATACAGGAGACAGACACATATATGTATATGCGTTACACAATGAGAGGCAGAGAGAGCCTGTGAAAATATATATATATATATATATATATATATGTTTCAGAATTCAGAGTACAAGTTTGAAAGAAAGAAAGAACAAAAGGGAAACTATTACAAACGAAAAGCTAAGAAGCTGGAAGAAGCTATTTTCTCTGACTTTGTGTTTTGCTCATTAAGCAAAGCAGACAGAGAAAGGCTTCAGATCCTCAGGGAAGCAGAGAAAGGCAAAGACAGCTTCCGCTTCCGTATCCACAAAAAAACAATAATATAAATAATAATATTGCCAATAATAATACCTCCTTTATTTTTATTTTTTAAAAAAAGAAATCTGGTTTTTCTTGCTGGGTCGGATTTATAGTATTGATTTTTTTTTCTTTTTTTCTTTTGGGTCGAAAAATTATTGACCTACTGAGTCAACTCAAGACTTACCAAATTTTTATTTATTTACTTATTTATTTTGCAAATATTATATGTTCATTATTGTCAAATAAAAAAAAGGGAAAGGAAAAGGTTTTATTTTATTTCCAGTGTTTCAGGAATTTTGTCTTTTTGGCATATGATGCTTATTTTATTTTTACTTGGGTGGGGGTGGGGAGACGTATCCCCAATAATTATTCACTTTTAAATGGAAAAAGAATATTAAATTAGGAAAAGGAAATACCAAGATGATATCATAGAAGTGAGAATATGCTAATATGCTTTCCTATACTCAACCGGTCTCCTTTTTATTGTGAATTACAGAATTAGATATATACTTGTCAACCGGTCTCCTTTTTATTATAAATTACAGAATTAGATATGTACTTGTATTCAAATACTTATTGAACTCGTCGTAAATCTCATATACATGTATTTAGTATTTAGTGTGTATTGAAATACTTATTGAACTCATCGTAAATCTCAAATACTCGTCGTAAATCTCAAATACAGAATTAGATATATATTTTAAATACGGCAGGTTCAGTCGGGGATTAAAATAGCATCCCTGTTGCGCTCCTAACTTCATACTCGAATACTTGATTCTATCATTCATACTCAAATAAGTATGTATTATGTAAAATTGCCAATAAAAACTCAAATGCTTGCATTTTGCGTAGATGAGAGTTCAAATTTACGGCTGAGTTTTGGTCTTGTATTTGGTTATCTGCCGACAAATGGGGGAATTGCCTTTTATTCAAATTTTAGAAAATTGAATAATTACCATTTCAACAGATTTGTGAAATTACATTCACTCATCCTAATAAGCAATGTGGGGCCAGGCAATAAATACACTCCTCCTCAAACAAAACAAAAAAAACAAAAGACACTTCTTCTACACTACACGTATGTTGTCTTATTGCTATACTTAGCTGTTTTTTCTTGTTCTAACCCAAAGAAAAAGATTGTGACATGTCATCTTTTTCATGTTGCCTTATTGCAATGTTATCTATAAAAAAAATACTTTTATATTGCAGTGAATGTGATTTCCTTCCAATATGATCTCAGATTTGCAGACTTGTCAAATCGAATTTCTTTTATTGGGGGACCATAATGCACATAATTTAACGGAAAATACTAACTATTTTCCTTTTGAACTTTTCTTTTTATTATGCAATGTTGTGTGATATAACCGAACCCCTTCTCTTTTGAGATCATCTGTCAAACAAAAATTATTTAGTCATTTGATTAACAATGTGATAATTTAGTATTTAACCCGAGTTGTGATTAACACAAATTTTCACTGTATATATGTGAGTTTTAATAAACTTCAAAAGGTGACCTAAAAGATAGATGGTTCTACTTAATGAAAATGCAAAAAGAGAAAGTATAAAAGAGAAGGTAATAGCATTCCTTAATCATGTTAAATTGATGGGTTGTCATGTTATATGCTTCACCTTTTTAACACATGAAAACTAAATTGATATGTTTTCATCATAACGTGAACAACAAATCTTCCCAAAACCCACTTGTTACTTTAAAGAAATAAATGCTTGACTCAACAAAAAATTCATAATAATTGTAATTTATATATATATATATATGTTATGCATAAACAACTACTTTCAATTAACCAATTTTCCGAGAGCATTTTTGTTCACCACTTTAATCCAATGTATATCCTCACCATCCTTCTCAATTATTGACACGTATTCATTGATATAATCATGGTTCCATAAATACAAAGCAAAGGGTTAACTATGTTTATGTCAATGGATACATGTCAAGTGTTGAGAAGGGTGGTGAGAGTATACATTGGGTTAAAGTGGTGAGTAAAAATATTTTCCCAATTTCCCCCCCTTCCAAGTCATTGCCACTACAATATTATATGTGCACCTCTAGTTTGGTTATCTTATAAAAAATAAAAAATAAAAATCTCTAGTTTGGTTATTTTCCCTAAAACATATTTTGGAGGGTTAAAAACCAATTAATGAGAAGTTATTGAAGAACCCATGATTAAGCTAACTAGTTGACCATCACAAATTTATAATATAATCATATATACTATTAAGGGGTATATTCAATTGAGATTTTAAAGAAGTTTAAAAGTCGAGGTGTATTTAATCACGATTTTACAGAAGTCTAAAAAATTATAAGTGTATTCAATCCATACTTTTTAAACTCCATCCAAATTTAGATGTATTCAATCATGACTTTAAAAGGCTCAATAAAAGTTTGGGTGTATTAAAAAATTCATTGATTTTAAAGGAAAGGAAATACAAAAAGTGATGGATTTCATTTCATTCTAGACTAATTTTAGGCAATGACAAATCTTTGCTTCCCCCCAAGAAATTTTGATAGATATATTATTTTTATTCTCAAGATATGATTTCACCACCTATACTACCACCATCTTGTCATGACTATCATTACCGCTACCGCCACCTTTACCACCACCACTGTCATCACCACTGTCGCCCCCAACCCAAGCGCCACCACCACCCCTAAACGTAACTTGCACCACCACCTCCACCACCACCATCGCTGCCACCCCTATCGTCATTTCCATCCCTATCGCTGTCACCACCACCACCATCACTGCCGCCATCCCCACAACCACAGCCACCACCAACATTGCCACCACCACCGCCCCTACCCTTAGAGCCACTAGCTCAACCACCACCGCCATTGACACCAACACCACCTCCCCAAGTTCCACAACCACCACTGTTGTTCCCACCAACCTTGTTTTATTTCTTGAATAACTACATTATTGTTTTTATAACTTTTTTTATTTTTTTTAATGCTATAAACTCTATTAAAATCAATAATAAAAGTCTGACAAACTCAATTAAATATATATATATTAATTTAGTCAAAATTTATGTGGAGTTTGTAGAATTCAGTCAAACTCTATTAGATTCAATTAAACTCCATAAACTTTATAACTCGTTTGAAATCATTTAAAATTTTAATTGAAATGTAACCGTCAATGATTTCATTTTTTATTTGAGGATAAGCAATAGTTTTTATTGATAAACAAACAAAAGTATAAAGCAACAATGTGCCGAATGTGGGTAAAAAAATCTTCTCTAGTGACCAAATGCAATAACACGTTGAATTGATCCGGAGAAAATCACGCACAATTCAAAAATGACTAAATAACATGAAAAACATGTCCTCCACATGCCCTTAGACGTAGTAAGAGGTGCGGCAAGTCAAGTTTGTGCATCCTCCTCCTACTTCGCATGAAGTGGTCAACATCATGTTTGGTCATCTATTTGGAATGCCAAGGTGCCAGGAAAGGTGCGCCACTTTTGGTGGAGAGTTTGCTCAAATATCCTCCGTACAAAAGACAATTTTCTTAAGAAACATGTGCAGGTGGACAACGACTGTGTTTTCTCCAACTCCTACATGGAATCATCGCTCCATGTGCTTAGATATTGTCCGTTTGCAAAGAGTGTGTGGTTGCAGCCACCGAACAGCTAGCACGAAGGAATGGGTTCGTGCATGCTCGGAATCTCTCGCAAGTTCGCAACCTATGTTTTTGAAATCTTTCTTATGACATGTTGGGCTACATGGGAAGCTCGAAATGGATGGTTGTGGAATGATCAACGTATACAACCTCAGGAAGTTAGTGCATAGATGGACCAAACCTAATATTGGCTGTCTAAAGATGAATGTTGACGGCGCCTGGCAGCCCGGGAGTAGCGAGGGCGGCATAGGCATTGTTGTTCGCAATGAAGATGGCACGGGAAGGAGTGTTATTGGCGGAGGAAAGGGGTTTGCGTAATATTTCTTTTGAGAGTGATGCTCTCTAGATTCTTTCAGCTATTCGAAGTACATCCATTGACAGATCTTTACTTGGGCCTGTTGTGGAGGATACCAAGAACTTGTTGGTGCAGATAAATTGGAGATGGTTTTACCCACATCCGTCGCACTGCCAACTCTGTTGCTCGCCGTATAGCTAGCGCGCTTTGCTCTTCATGTTGAGACCTCGCTAACTTGGTTTGAGGAGCCCCCAGATTTTATTTCAGATGTATTGTTTGAGGATTGTAACTTGTAGTTTTTATGGGTATGTTTCTAGGAATGGGGGGTCGCTTTACGGAGGCAAGGCTCCTTCTCCCATGCGGGGTTTAGAGGGTAGGCTACGTAGTAGTTGACCAAAATGCCCATTAGTGTATAGGTACTCGTCTAATCCTCTAGAACTCACTCGGTTTTTGTATTTGTTTCATTCATCATCATTAATTAATAAAACAACTATCACATGTGCCAAAAAAAAATTCGATTTAGCAATCAAAAGCACATGTACTCAAACCTACAATACAGATCCGCTGCACAACAATAAAAATGACAAATCCATATCAAAAGCCAAAACTAAATAAAAATAAAATAACTTAAAGATAAAACAAACCACAACAAACTAAGAAATTTTTTTTTGTTGAGAATTATTAGACTTAAACAAACTAAAAATAGGACTACCCCTTCCATCAATGATTTCATATATACTATATATGAATGGCAAATGCAAAAGTAATTAAGAGTGGGGTGGTAGTCTCATTGTTGTTGCATGCAATTGCCACGTCAGCATCAAGTTAAATAATTAAATTCCAAGATAATCAATTCATGCATTCATTTGAAATATTCAGGGTTTGCTTTAATGTGTTGTACTGCTTCTTCATCATTAAATCATCCAGAAATACCCTTGAAATATTCAAGGATGCATGAATTTTGCAAGAATATATATTAGACAAAAAAGAAAAAGAAAAAGAAATTGGCCTAGCTAGCTCCCCCATGTGTCCATCCATCATCCATGTCGTGCTTTCTATTATGCCTTTCTTTCTTCTTCTTTCTTTTTGTGCTGAATAACACTTTAAATTTAAAAGACTGACTTCATCATTCATTTAGTTTTTTTCTTCTTCTTTTGATTACATCAATACATGCATCACACTAAATTATAAGTTTATTTAAGTATAAAAAAAGTAATCATGCATAAAATAATAACATAAAGTTTTTCTTTTCATTAAATAAATACAAATGACACCCTCATGAAGCAACCATTCCTTTCAATATTGAGCTAGATATATAGAAGGTCGAATGGAAGACCATGAGGAAAACTCATATGTTTTAGGGAAATGCTTCCAAATAAATAACACCATTAGTGTAACATTGTTATTTCGATAGAATTGTTGTAATAAATAGTCTCATTATATCGATATCATCTCGATAGATATTGGCATTCTCGTATTTTTCCCTATATTTTATGACTCAACCTGGTGAAAGCAATTGATGTTTCATTTTGCTTTTTGATTAACAAACATTCTTGAGCTAAACGTGTTGCATGTACAAAATTAAATATTATATATCTCCAATAACTTTCTAGGTCCCCATATAGACCAAGAAAATTAAAAAAAACTAAAAAAATAAAAAAATAAAATATATGGATGTAAATGTTGAACAAATCATGGTTTCGCTTTATACACATAGATTTCCATTAATTTGATTGATTAGATGTAAAATTCAACCTACCAAACATAAGAAATGAGTTAATTGCGTTGAGGTGGGCAACCCTAATCAACACGGTTAGCTGTATCCTCCATGACCACTTCAATTTATTTCTCATCACACAATTTTAAATAATAATAAATAAATAAAATACATTTATTTTCCACCATTCCTTATCCTCTTCATTATCACTTGCCTACAACACAAAGGAAGGTAAAAAAAGTCAATCAAGGTCGTGTGATGATCGGACGGCTGTAACGAAGCCAAACTCGGTGAGATCTAGTGGGAATTACTTTTCAACGTGTCCTGATCTAGACACGTAGCTGGAGACAGCCGAGTGGATGACGTGGAGTTACCTGGAGCTTTCATATCCGCCACGTGAATATTATTTGGCTTTGACAGCGACACCACGTGTCTTGCGTGGGGTTGGTCAAAGCAATCATTTACAAAGCGGCGGATCCAAGAGGGCATTTGTCAACACTCGTCGCCATTGCGTGCCTTCTCCTCCGTAGTCGAACTCTCTTTTCCCATCTTCAGCAAATGTAAATATTCAACATTCTGGACGTGTTGTTTACATGGTGATTTATTCAATTTCCACCAATATAATTATAAAGCATTTACCATAATGTCCTCCATCCATGATTTGGGGTTCTCTCACATCAATCAAATTTTTTTTTTTCATGGTGGAACAAAAATAAATAAATAAATATTACCACATTGGGATATGAATTTTTAGGACTGTTTTGATGCAGGTGGAATTAAGTTTTATTTATTTATTTATAGAAGAAGCGATTGCGTACAATCTTCATAATGTATGATATCAGGAGTCATACCATCTTAACGCTTCATCTAAAGAAAGAGCAACACAAGTTATTATATGAGCAATCATATTGGTCTCGCGAAAAGCAAAATGCAAAGTACAACTCCCACTGTTAAGGAGCATCATTTTTTAATTACAGTGAAAATTGGATGAATTTTTATGTCCTTTTTCATCTTACATGAAGGGATTGTGACATGTACTTTCGAAAACATGATAGGGTAAGATTTATAATCGATGTAAAGGACACTCATTTACAATTTTGCTTTGAAGATTTCCTTTCTAATCTGTATAATTAGGTTTTGCTATCTTTTTTTAAAGAGATGAATAAATCCGAGTTATATTTGAGCAGCAACCTTTACAATAAGAAAGAAAATTTACATGCCAAAAACAAAATTGAAAATATATGAGCAAAAAGCCAAAAAAAGGAAAAAATTATTTGAGTAAATTACTCGAGTTAGTTTTGAGTAAGACCGTAATACGACCACGTAATATATATATATATATACTTTATTTATATTATAACACGTATTTTATTTATTATTATATGTATATATCATAAGGTATAAACTCGTGATCTACTCATGTTATTAATAAGTCTGGTATTAGTCTTCAAATTACATCACAATTAATGTTCTAGCTTCTTGTTTAGGCAGGGAGTTGTTTTCTTGCTGAGCTTATTGCAGATGTGGTGGGCCTGTGTCTGTCTCACAGAGGAAAAAGACCTCCAGATAGAGATTGGACACAGAGAGAGAGAGAGAGAGAGAGAGAGAGAGAGAGAGCAATAATTGAGAGAGTGAGTAGTGAGAAATCAAAAGGTGGTGAGTTTGCGTAAATTGCCAGAGAAGCCTTTTTCAATGATTCTAATCAATCCGGGATGTGGGTTGGTTTGGGTTGATCACTTTGGATTCTCCTCCCTCCTCCACCTATTCGTTTTAGCATCTAACTTTTTATGCACAACAACATCATTGAAAACATGACTGTATTTTCCAAAAGCGTAGTTTGTGTCTCGACTCTGTAAATTCTCAATCTCTGGCTCGACTTTTCTGCTATCTACATCTTCTCCAGTCCCTTTTTTTATATGCATGCAGACAAAATTACTCTTTCATGTAGGATGTGTTTATGGTTCAAAGTCTTTATGGTTGTGGACAGCAATTAATCACCGCTACATTCCCTTACTTGTGGAGAGCAACTAAGGGGAATCTAGGAATAGGGGATTAAATAATTGAACGGTTGGGTATTGGATTACGAAATTAATTATAGGGATAAGTATCTCCTACGTGCTTCTCCTTATAGTCATTTTCAATAAAATTAAGTGAGGTGATTCGCCACAAAATCACTTGAAACCACCTAAAATGATTATATGGAGAAGTGATTATTGGCCAATGCAGAATCATTGCCAAACGAGCCTTAGTAAACGCACGAGAAGTCAGAAATTGAAATAATTCCAATGCCCATTCTTAGTAAATAAACATGCTAATACACAAAATAGTTTTTACGATTTAAAGTCATTTTAACAGTTTTTAGATTATATTTTTTTTCATTTGGCCACTCGTTGTTAAAGACAAAAAAAGAAGTCAATTAATAGTGAAAATGATTGTAACAAAAAGAAGAAGATTAACCGTCGTATTTAGGAACCATTTATTGAGCTTAGACTTTACAGACACATCCAAAGCCTTTGGATTTAATTAAAAAAAATAAAAGCTGGAGCTGCCATTATTTGTTAATTGACTTGAGATTGATTGCATGCGATAGTTAACATTTGTCAAATGTGTCAAAAACAATTATGTTTTATGCTCTCTGACTTTTCCAAAATCTAAATCTTTGAAGCTAATATCAAAACAGATCAACCCTAATTAAGACTTAATAAAAGATTTATGATGAGTTTTGGCTTTTAATAACATGAAAGGGATAGTAAACAATTCTATGGTGGAAAGGTGGAGATGTCTAAATCCAAGCACTTAATTTTTTAGGTATGGATGAGAAGGGGTTCCAATTCCACATCTCCTTTCTGTTTGAAAAGAAGAAAGAGGAGAAGTTTACAAACAAGTCAATACAGTTTTAATTTTTAGAATCAGTTTAAACAATAGTACATGGCAGACAAGGGGCTTATAACTCAAGTGACTACATTTGAGTCCTAGGTTCGATTCCTCCCTCCCCATATCGCTCGTATCATTAAAAAATGGCAACACCAATATTACATGGCAGAAAACGAAGGCCTTTATATTGGGCTAAATCAAAACTGGCTAAATTTGGCCCACTTAACTTTAACCCATCAATAAAGCTTGCATTGCTATTCACACCCAAACATCTGATCACTTGTAACAACCCAGATTATGTTTTCATGTTCCTTTGGGAACACATGAGACCACATGCTTCAGACAAAGGGTACAAATTAATACAATACAAGGATTTAATAATGTTATGAATGACGTTTCGTTAGTTGAATGTAATAAAAACCTGCATATTAAAATCTGATATAATTGTTGGAACTGTGGACCTGGCATATGGGAGACAGTGGGCTCACATGTTTGTTTATAACTTTATATATCTTACGAGGAGGGTTCCGTGTTGAAGCGCACACAAACATATGCAGAGGCACATGTTGTCTTCTTCACTCGTTCTGTAACCATATCTAGTCCTGCCTTTGGGGTCAGAGCCGTCCCTGAGCATGGCCTCCCATCAAGGGTTCTTAAAATATATATAAGTTGTTAGAATCATAGAAAAGTCTATTAATAAATTAGGATCTCAATTATTTTTTCTTGTTAAGAAGTATAGAGTTTTTGAACAAGTGAAAGTCTAAATACTCTAAATTAATCAACTTTACGGGGTGGAGAACTCGAACTTGGATGTAGGGGGCGACATAACTACCCTGTCCAATTGGCCTAACCTACGTTTGCAAGAAGCATAAATTTTCATCCATGCACTCTTGTATTTTTGTTTTTTGTTTTTAATGAAGCAACTATATTTAAGCACAAAAAAAAATACGAAACTGTTCTTTTATGTGGAGACTATGCTGCTTCTTCCTTTTATTTCACCCTTCCCTTTTTTTATTTATTCCTTGTTGCATGTAGTTTGGCCTGTCTATGGATGGAAGGATTTCTTCTAAATAGTTATGTTGTCAGACTGTTAATCTCGACGGTTTATAACCTTGGTATAATGGTATATAGGCATACCTCTGCAAGTTTCTTGTGCTCGTTGTCGTTGGACATCACAGACAGATTCCGAGGACGACAACTCCAAAGCAAACCCTCCACAAGAAACATATGAATTGAGTAACAGGACCTCACCTCCACTATAAGCCTTTCAACTCCAACTAGTACCGAAGACATTGTTCTAGATTTGCTAAAATCCTTCAGGTTAAAGTTGAAATATAAGACCAAAAAAACAAAAGCAGACTGAACAAAACAATGTATGAATTATTATTATTATTATTAAACATGATTACAGAGAGAGAATTTGCATAAGTCTTTTATTACCTTCCCTGACTGAGATGAAGCAACCGGGCTTTGTGGTAAAATTTTTGTCATGTCTAATTCGAACCTTATATTCAGATACACAGCTCCACTTGACTTTTTTAGCAGTTCCTTCAACTTTATGGACCAAAGAGAGCCGAAGCAAGTGTCCAAGAAGAGCTGAAACTTTAGGTGCCATGGACAAGGAGCATTTATCTTTATCAAAGTAGATGGAAATACTTTGCCATCGTACTCAAGCGAAAGTAAATTCGGAGTATCAATCTGAACCTCCACAAGCTTGTTACACTTGTGTAGCTTCAACCTTCTTAGGTTGTGACTTGAAATCGTAAGCCTTCCTATCCATTTGCAGGCAATGTGTAATTCTGTAAGGAAGGGAAAACTAGAGAGGAGTTTATTGAAAGGCAACCGTGTGATGAGCTCAGCTTCAATGGAAAGTGTTTTAAGATGATGGCACATTCTTCCACATCAATGGTACATAGGTTCATACTCCGAGATGCAGAATCTATAGACAGACTTTGAAGGCTAGGTGCTTCATTAATGTGAATCCTCTCAAGTTGAGCAGCAGGAGGCAGCAACAGGACCACTTGCTTGAGCTTATCAAGCCCAAATATGTGCAAATTTTTGAATCCGGCACAGCGGATGGGAATGATTTCCTCCATTAAAGGGCAGCTAGAGATGAGTTCCCTGTTTATCCACAAGAAAAATGCGATATTTAGTGTCACTAGGGATGAGAAATTAGAGTACAGTTTGTGGAATGGAAATCCTGTGTCAACACTAGATGCAAAGTAAGTCTTTTGAGATCATGGCATGCATCCATGTTAATGGTACATGGTTGCGTATAACCCCAGAGAGTAGAAACTATAAATAGAGTTTGAAGGCTTGGGGTTTCAGTGTGAACCCTTTCAAGATGATCATCCCTAGACACCTCCAGGATCAGTTCCTTCAGTTTATGAAGGCCAAATACATGCAAATTTTTGAACCCCGGACAATGGAGGAGAATGATTTCCTCCATTAAAGGGCAGCCAGAGATGAGTTCCCTTACTGTGTGATCATCCATTCAGACACAGGTAACCGAAAGCTTCCGGAGAAAAGGGAACTTTATGGTGTCCTTAGAGTGATATGGCTGCTGAGGATCATGCAACTTGAAAACACAATTGCTTAACACATGTGTAATCAATGCCCTGGCACCAAAAATGGTTTGAGGCCTGCTGTACCAATGACGAAAATCATCTTTTCTACTAGTTAGCTTTATAATGTTGAATGAACATTCTTAACCCCTTTTTTCATTGCCAAGTCAATCCATTTGTCAACAACAGAATCCAACTCAATATCAACCATGAGGTCCATGGACAGTATGAATTTCTGCAAGGCAAGAGTTTGCCTACTGCAGAATCCAAATAAAGAGGCATCCACATATTCCATAAACTTGTTGTAAGTTCTAAAGTCTTCAGGATTAGCTTCCTCAAATGTTTGATTGCATAGAGTAGCATAATAATCTAGATCAAGACCTCTTATTCCGAAGTGAGATTGATCGAATTCGAAAATGGGGAAAGATGCATGAACATAGTGCCATCGCTTGGACAAGATACTAGTTCGATCAACATCTAGTTTCATGGGGAGAAAAGACAGGATATGATAGATGATAAAATCAGGCAAAACTGAGATTCTATCTGTGCCATCATCTATGATGTGAAGCTTCATTCATTTGCAGGTTGAGCTATGACCTCAATAGGCCTCCTCCTCCTCCTTTATACAAATTAGGTAGCAAAAACACCTCTCCCGACAAACTTTCGTTAAGCTCTCAGTAATCTTTCTTAAAAATAAGGGGCATTGCATCTGTTAGGTTGCCTATCACTCTACGTATTCTTGTTTAGAATGGGACTTGAATATGCTGGGCTTTGTCTCAAAAGTGGCTATGCAATCATTCGCTCCGATGCTAAGTAAGTAAACAGCACCTGAAACAAATTCATTCACCCTTACTTCACCCCGTTTCTCCCTCAGAAATTTCGTCGATCACGTTCTTGAAATTAATAATCTGACTTTTAACATCAATCACCTGTTAAAAGGATTTCAAATAAAAAACTAGCATACATATGTTACATTTAGAACAAATTTGTAAGTGCAAGAAATCTGGCACATATATTAATGTCTTGGCAGAGATAATACATACCGATCGCCCTTGGTGAGTTTCCAACAGAGCACCAGCTCCTGCAGATGCAAAGTTGACTCCATACGGATATGCTAAACTAGAATTACCAACATCTGATCCATAACAAAAAAAACTCATCCAAAAAAACATAATGTAATGATGATACCCGCGTCCGAAAGTTTTAACGGCCTAAAGTTTTATTTCATCAGCCTCGGCAGAAAACTAGTCTTGTTTAAACAAGTTGTTCGTAAAGAGATATATTATATACACATGGTTGTAACCGATGATAGGAAAAAATTCCTCATCTCCTCATGCCATGCAACCCATTATCTCACCGAGAGATATATGTATTCATAACCACAACTTTAAATTCAAATTCTCAAATGACGAAATTGCAAAGGCAAATTTGATAATTATAATCATTAAAATAGTTCTGTAACACAAAACTATTGAAATAGTAATTACACAAAAGAATGTCTCTTTATCATTTCAGTGTGCTAGCTACAAATTTGAATATAACAAATAACAAATAAGAAATATTCATATCAACATAGAATTTAAATAAAATACAATAAATAGACAATTGAAACATAGTTTATGATTTAAGGCTTAGACTTTAGTCCGTTCCCCTCTACATAACCAAGACAGCAGCGAAAAGCCCACTGGCAAGAGATCCGGCGACGGCCAACCTATTTGAAATGGCACCGCTAGGGGCCGGTGCAGGAGCATCTCCAGACGAAGAGGGAGAAATCTCTGGAGAGGCCACAGGGGAAGACGAGGGAGGAGAAGGTGGAGAGTTGGCAGCTGGCTTGCTAGAAGGAGCAGCCTCCGGTGAAGTGCTCGATGGAGAGGGAGCGGTAGTTGGTGTAGTGCTCGATGGAGAAGGAGTGGCCGTAGGTGGGGTGCTCGAAGGAGAAGAAGAAGGTGGAGTGCTCACTGGAGAAAGAGAAGGTGGAGAGCTTGATGGGGAAGCAGAAGACGCAGCCTTAGGAGAGCTTGATGGAGAAGCAGAAGATGCAGCCTTAGGAGAGCTTGCAGAAGATGCAGCCTTAGGTGGATGGCTAGACGGAGAAGGAGCAGCTGATGGTGGAGTGCTCGATGGAGAAGCTGCATGGGACTTGGATGGTGACGATGCAGGGGATAGTGCCCTTGTTGAGGCCACCAACAGAGCAGCCATGATCACCAAAACCACGGCGCTGGAGCGAGCCATTGTAGAGAGAACGTTAGGGTTTTTTTGTTTGTTTGTTTTTCTGAATTTGGCACTTCTCTCAAAAGGTAGAGAGAAGACCAAGAGGCAAATGATGGGTTGATGTCAATTGAGGAGAGAAGAGTTGCTTTTTATAGAAGAAAAATGAGGAACTTGGTTAACAGATCTTCATTGGATTATGAGAAACTTGTTTGACCTCCGAATTTCAAGGGAGTTCTGGGCGGTGGAGATTCTCTCCTTTGATGTATATAAGGAATGTTTTTTTTTGTTATTAGAAACCGTCACATGACACCAAGAACGTAACTAAAATGGCACCATTGTCGGCACCAACTTGGGAAAAAATCTAAATTTATAATTTTGCCCAACTATAGCAAACCACGTGTATGTTGATAAAACTCTTAAGTTTGTAATTTATTTTATGGTTTCATTAATGGGTATATTTACGTATCAATAATGGATATGGGAGGAAAGGGAATGATTTCCATTCATAACTTCCCATATATATATATATATATATATATATATATATAAAATATCAGAGAGCTTCCATTGAAGGATCCCTCAAATAAGCTTATTTGAGGGACACCCCTTGTAGGCCCCACTATGGATTGTATTTCACTAATCCAAACGTCTATTTTGTAGATACTCATTCAAAGATCATCTCTACAAAAAATCACTTGAATCCGATATCATTTGACCACTCAATTGAGTTATTGAATTTTTAGTACTTTCTTGAAGCACCGTGTTCATTGATTTTGTAAGACACAATTGGATGTCGAAACGGTTTCCGATTTGTCTAATTTTTTGTAAGGATGATCTTTGAATGAAGACCTAAAAAGTATATGGTTTGGATCGTTGGAAAAAAAATTGTAGGATACCCTCAAATAAAATTATTTGAGGGATCCCTCAATAGAAGGGGACTGATAAAATATATATAATATATATATATATATATATATATATATAACAGCTAAATGTTAAATCTCGGTTTATTATTTGCATTAACACGTCCTATTGAGTAATGGTTAAATTAACTTACTTCATACTGGATTTGGTTTTCATCTTATTAAGGTAAAAATTGTTACCCCAGCCAACAATACAGAGAAATGGGAAAAAGCACAGTAACTCCATGCCAAAAATTGTTAACCCTTGGCCTTCCTTTGCCTTCCATTACACGAGGAGATAGCGTGTATTCATAACAATTGGTCTGTTGAATTATTGATCAAGTATTAAATTTGCCGACTGGCAACTTCCCTTTTTATTTTTCTCTTTAATTTCCAAGTATAACGTCAACTTTTTTTTTTTTTTTTTTTTTTTTATTATTATTTTTATAGTACAAGCAATAGTATAAAAGGGGAGGGTAATTTTCCACACACACATACAACTATGATGTCGTGGTTCGAGCATGAGATCTCTGGTTTGCAAGTCATTGTCCTTTTTCACTAAGCTAGACCCCGTTGACTTATATAATAAACTGTAGATATACATATGATTTTCAGCATTTGTTTATAAATGCAAACTACCATTAAACACATGTACTAAAGCATAAAACTGCACGTCTTTATGGGAAGATATTTTGATACCTAAGCTACTGTTGCCCCTTCACATACGTCGCAAATTGTAAACCCACGACCTTCACAATATGGACATTTTGCTCCCTCTTCCACCCAATCCGAGAACTGCTGTCATTTAACAAACTAATTAAAACTTCATCCTGGACGGATAATGCTCGAAAATGAGAATATTAATATCTCTCTTTGAAACCTCTAACCTGTTCTTCAATGTTTGGCTCGCCTGTTCCATCACATTCTGCAACAAAGAAATACAGATAAGCTACCAAGGGGACTGTGGATAGTTGAAACAAAATATGCAAAAGTAGAAAAATAAAACTAATGCATATCATCATCAAAGCCATTGGTGTTCAACATTATATTTAAAAATCAGATCAAACAAAATAAATATACAAATTCTTAGTATGGGTGGATTTAGAGTACTTCTGCAAAAGTTTAGCGTAGCATGGCAATGGTTTATAAACTTGAATATAGTGACTAAGACGGGAGACAGACAGGAAGTACCTGGGCACAATAAGCGACCCTCCCCTCGACAAGTAAGACACCTTGTTGTGGTATTCATTGTCTTGCTTTCACCTACTTTTTTTTGGTTCCTGCTAAGTCTAGACGAATCTTTCCAGCGGTTCTCTCCAAGGAGAAAAACACGATGCTTAGATACCTCTACTTTTGTAACGCCTTCTTTCACAAGTGTTTGCTGGACCTCTGAAATTTCTGTTCCAGAAGTAACTGCAGCTCCATTTGTATCTTCCCAAACAACATAACCCACGCAACCATTAGAAGAATTACGATGTTTCAGCCTATGTAGTGGTTCGCTATAGCTTATACGAACATGATCAGGTTGCTAGCTCAAGGCCAACCAGGAGAAGAAAATCAGTTTACCAATATAATCAGCTTCATTTATTAGTATCCAAAATAAGTTACGGTGTGTTCCCAGTTACCACAGCACATTACATCACAGTCATATCGTATTTATTTGCATGTTAAATGATTGTCTCATGAACTGGAACCAAGAAAACTGATGTCTGAGTTACTAAAAATAGAGTCGGCGCTTCAGGTCCGTTTCTCAATTAAGTAACAGAGCTTCTTGGTTGGTACTTAGTACTGTTTGCTACAATTCTTTACAATTTGGTTGAAGAAAATGAAGGCTTAGTTCACTTCAAATTGAACCATCAAATGAGTTTTTGGCTCCTCTTGAGGAATGCAAGTAATGACTTACCAAACCATTATGTTCAGTTCCAAGTGAGGAATGATATATTGGTACTGAAACTTAAAACATCAACGGCTTCCACTTAATAAAGGCTAATGGTATGTCGTCAGAAGGCTATACCTTTTGTGTAGCAGTCAGAGTACTCCCTTTGTTATCCAGACCCTCAATTTGTGCCACCGTATATAATTGTTCAAGAAGTTCTGCAGTCACTATGCCATCTTGAGGGGCGTCTAAGGAGGCCTGTCAAACAAGATATTATATTTTGCGTTGTGAAATTTTTGTTCAACTTGATGATTCTGAAATTTTACTCTTCATGCATTATACATAGTAACATCTAATGATAATTGAAACTTACTTGCCAAGTCTTGACAGCACGTTCGGTCCCGCTTGAGAAGCTGGAAAACTCCATGTCTTCCTCACCCAAGTAAAATCCTAGTTTTTGCGATGCTTCCTGTCAAATAACAGGAACATTATATTAGAACAAGTCGAAATCACAAATTTTACATCCAAAAACGAAGCAAACACTAGAAAAGGAAATAACCACACAAACCCAGTTACAGAAAAAGAAAAGAAACAAAAGTTAACAACTTTCTATACCATAGAGAAAGTTAATACCCCTTGTAAGTTGTAAAAAACTGTATGCTGCTCATTTTTTAATTTGCCAAATTTAAAAGTACCATTTTATAATTCAAAGACAACACTAAATCATAAACAAAACATAAGAAATGAATGATAGACTCCGAAAAATCAAAACTCGCATTTCAAAAGCAAGCAGACCTGCATAGCTCGGACCTCTTTACCTTCTAACCCCTTCCTCAAAGCATTTATGCTCTTCTTCTTCTCCTTCACTTCCGGAACGGCAGGCACCTCCTCAATCTCCTCCTGAATATGGTCCAATTCTACGGCTCTGGAACTCGACCCTGTCTCCGATACCAGAATTTTCTCGGTCAAAATCTGCAACAAGCCGGCGATGTAGGGCTAGGCAGGCGCTAGGCTGCTAGGCAGGGGCTAGACAGGTGCTAGGCGGGCGCTAGGCTGCTAGGCAAGGGCTAGGCGGGTGCTAGGCGGGCGCTAGGCGGCTAGGCGGGGGCTAGGCGGGCGCTAGGTGGCTAGGCGGGGGCTAGGCGGGCGCTAGGCTGCTAGGCAGCCTCCTAGACGGGTTGGGTCTTTTTACGATGCCGAAGCTGGAGGACGAAGCAGCCGAAACCGAAGAAAACCAATTGGAGCTTTAGTTTGATAGAGAAGCGAAATGGCTGTGACTGCGAGTGCAAGCTTCGTGTTAATATTTAAAGAGTATAGCCGTTCGGCTATACTATTAAAATATTCGAATATATTAATATTTAAAGAGTCTAACCGTTCGGCTACACCTTTAAAATATTCGAACGTATTTAGACAGTATAGCCCTGCGGCTATACCCTTGAAATATACATTTTTGTCATATCGATTTAGGTTTTTGGGGCTAGAATACCACTTTAGCGCATTGGGCTAGAGTTATTTCTACAATTATTTTATTTATACAAGCGATATTGGGGAATGAAAATTTAAATTCTTTCTGATACCTCTCATTATAATGTTTTCTAACTATCTAACTATTAGCCCATTGGGAAAGAATAAAAAAATGGATTTTATTTATAAAAAATAATACGGGTTAAACCCATAAATACAACAACAACAAAATAGGGATCCACCAACATTTTGTGGATCAAAGAAGGTTGAATTTCATAGTATAAAATTGCTTGGGATTGCTTTTTTTGGCCAAAAACCTGATTCAGTTTAAAGTTAAGCAGTTTAAGGTGTTTGGTAAAAATAAAATAACCCAATTATTTTAAAAGAAATGGCCTTTTGACAGCAGCTTTTAAAAGCAGACTCTGGGTTTCTTTTCAAAGCTACTTTAAAAAAAAGCGGAGATGAACCTTTCATGAATTTTTTTAAATTCCCAAAATACCATCATTCATTTTAAAAAATGACACCACCTCTACTTCCACATCCAACTCCACCACTTGCACCACCACATTCACTACCTCCACCGCCACTGCCACCGCCACCACCACCTCCTCCAAAACCTCCACTTCCACCTCCATCTCCACAACCAACACCACCACATGAGAATATATTGGGAGACGCACAAAAATGAGATGCCTTTCTAGATTCTAACCTTATGAACTACACAAGTAGCTAGCTCAACTAAGAAATGGTTTTGGTCATATAAAAAATTTCTTAGTCAACACCTTTTCTGGATCACCCCCACCTTTAAACATGTTATAGGTGTCTCGCATGACAGGTTTCGGATCTTGGCCAATCTGCATTCATCTGGTATGTGGTTAGAAGAATTTTATTCAACTTTTCACTCAATACATGGGAGTAAAAAGCACTTAAAAAAGTGTCACCTAGAATTATACATTCACTCATAAATATACTTGGTTATGCTTGCTCCTACATATGGCCAAAAGTCACTAGCTCAAAACCTACTTTAACTTCATCCATAATCTTCCTCATATGGAAAAATAAAAATAAAAACCTTAATTTTTACTTTTATTCCAATGACATATCTAAGGCTAAAGTGACACACTTTTTTATTTTTTCTACATCAAGTATTATTGTTTTTCAAAATTTAATTATCTCAGTACCTAACAAAATCATATGGAAACAAGAACCATCAAAGAACTAGTTCCTATCAAGATAGTAAAGTGACAGGCCCCTTTCCCAAAGATCTGATAACAACCTTAGCAAACACCATGTAACTTAATTCAGCAATTCATATCCGTAGCCAACACACTTTTTTTCAACAATAATGTTCAAAGAGTATAGCCTGCTATACCAGGATATAATTTTTTAACATCTCGATAATTGGATAGAATAGTTGTCCACGAAATAATTTGAAATTTCAAAATTTTACAACTTGAATTTACAGTACAAGAGGCGGAGGAGGGTAAAGTAGAAACTTGTTGAGCTTTGTCATCGCTTGGGGCAGTACTTTGTATGCAGGTTATCAAGCTTCTCGGCATACTCAATCGGAGTTGCCTCATTGTCCAACACTTCATCCCATATATATCTTAGCAAGATCTGTTTGCAAGGTTATTGGGTTCGTATAGGATATGAAACTAATGGAAAATATGAATCATAAACCCCATAAAAATGGGCAGGATGACTACCAAATCAGAAAATATGGAACGATTCAATCAAGACACAGTGCAAGCATTACCAGTCGCTGAGACTGATATACCACATTGATATAGGTATACTCTACTTAAAAAAAACATTTGAAATCCAGGAATTCAACCGTAAGCTTTTGAAAATCTCAAGGAATTTAAAACAGAAGCATGCATACCAGCGTTGTCTGAGGATGAAAGAAACATGATGAGTGTGTCAAATCTTGGAACCCTGGTTAAGTTGTCCAAATAATTGACAGCCAAATCCATTTCTTCACTGACAAAGAAATAAATCAAAGGCCGCCATAAGCATTTTATCAAGCTCAACAAGAAAACATACATATCAGACATAAACATTACTTTCACGAAAAAGGTTGCCACACACTTGATAATGTCAAGAAGTATGGGAACAGTCAAAGCATTTTTGAATATCTGCGGCAATGCACTTGGAGATATAGCCTGTATAGAAATAACACAAAAAATAACATGAAACAAAGTAACAGCATAAATGGAAAGTCAGAATGAGTGATGATTTCTTAAACAAATACCAACTGCATTCACAATCCTTTATGGACATTTGAAATTGTTCAAAAGGGACACAACAAATGGGGAACTTCTTGGATGGCCCCTAGCATGCAGAAGCCAGATAGGCAGACTGACAATGCAATTACTAGTGAAATTCCCTAGAATGGCCAACTGATCTGTTTCTTAACACTTAAACACCACGACAGGATTGAAATACTGTAACAATCCTGTAAGCAAAAATTCCAGAATACGCAGCAGAATAAACTCAAATAAAAACGCAAACAATTGCACAGGGGACACATGATATGTTGATGCAGTAAAAAACCTCAGGATGAGGAAAACAACTGCGGGCACTATGCCGGAGAACAAATCACTATGAGAAAGAATACAAAAAGGTCTTACAAGTCTCAACTCACAAGACTAACGCTCACAAGGCAGACTTGCCTACTCGCCTTTGCTACTCAACCCAACCAGCGATCTTGTCTTCCTTCGTCAACAAGAGATGGCACAACTCTAGTCTCGGCTGCTCACACCTCAAGGCACGATTGTTGATCACCAACATGCATAATGCTCATGAACTCACACATATATGAAAAGATGATTATTTAATCACTCATGGAGGCTAACAAGGAACAGCCACATGAGTTTTCAATATGAACTCTCAAAAACCTCTCTGCAAATATTTTGTCGTTCTTCTTCTTTTTCAATGTTGCAGACACCCCAACAAAAAGGCTAAGTTCCTTTCTTTTATTACACGCTTAAAACTAGGTCAGAGACCAAAAAAGGCTTTTAGCAAAAATGGGCTTTTTAACAAATAAAATATTTCTTTAAAACAAATAAAGCCACTTAATTAAAAACCCAGCCGTAAAGACAAAAGAGCCCTTTTGCTAAAGAATATAAAACCATCGTTAAAAACTCATTGATGTCTGGCACTGGATTATATAAGACTGAAATCATATATCAGTCATGTACATCTTACAGCCACTTTTGATGATCAAGCAAATATGAAAATATGAATGCATGGATGCAAAACATACCTTGGCATTGTCTCTGAGCCACACTGATCCAGGATAGCAGAATGTCACTTGAAAACTGTAGGTTACACTCAAAGACCTACTCTATGTTTTTGTAACAGGAAATTGCCAATATACCAAAAATTGGTCCTAACAACTAGTAATACTTCTGGCAAACATCCAAAGAGGACAATAGACGAGACTAGTAGAATCTTTGTAGTCGTCAACCGCATGGATGACCAACATGCAAAAAGAACACATTCATGGTCACCTACTTTGGGATGACAACGAACATATGAATCTTGCATTTTGGCAGACTATATTTTTTACAGTAAACCACATGAATACTTTTGCAGACCTTCAACAGGCTAGTCTGTCGAGCATTACCTCTAGATAATCCTCACCAAGAAACCTCAAATTGATATGCCGAATTTGTTGGTGTGATCTTTTCCGCAACTACAGCCTTGACTCAGGAAGCAGCTCGAGAAGCAAGCTCTTGTACCGACGCCTTCACCTCTTGCTTCCTAGTTGTGTTATTTCTCTACAAAATTATCATAATATAGACTAGTTCAAGAGACTAAAAGACACAGATGCAAAAGAAATAAATAAAAGTTTAAAGCAAATAAGAAGATAAAGCCATTGAGTCCAGATAACATGGTAGGAGTACACAACATATAAGTCTGATAAGAAATAAATAAAATTTGCTTCTCGAGAAGCAAGCACTTGTACCGATGCCTTCACCTCTTGCTTCCTAGTTGTGTTATTTCTCTACAAAATTATCATAATATAGACTAGTTCAAGAGACTAAAAGACACAGATGCAAAAGAAATAAATAAAAGTTTAAAGCAAATAAGAAGATAAAGCCATTAAGTCCAGATAACATGGTAGGAGTACACAACATATAAGTCTGATAAGAAGCTATAAAGACAAAAGCAATTAATAAGGTTCATAAACAAGTCTACCTTACTTATTCACTTGTTACTAAGAAGAAACGAAAACTCAATGACAACAACAAAAAATCAAGTAAAAGGAGCAACAAAACACTTTTCTTGACACCTTAGTGTGATCTTGAACTGCAGTCATTTATGTTATTTGAGCACTGCTGGAGACCGGCTGGATGCTTTGTCCGTTCACTTGGGTATCCAACTTTCCCACTTTCTGCATTTCTTGTACAAAATTTTTCCGTGCTCCAGATGCTTTCTGCAGAATTGTCTGGGAATTAACAATTCAAAGGAGTCAATTTAATATATAAATGAACTGGTAGATGAGCATGATATACACCATCAAACAAAACACAAGAAATGAATGATAGACTCTGAAAAATCAAAACTCGCCTTTCAAAAGCAGAAGCAAGCAGACCTGCATTGCTCGGACCTCTTCACCTTCCGACCCCTTCCTCAAATCATTTCTGCTCTTCTTCTGCTCCTTCATTTCCGGAACGGCAAACACCTCCTCAATCTCCTCCTGAATATGGTCCAATTCTATGGCCTCGGAACTCGATCCTGTCTCCGCTATAAGAATTTTCTCCGTCAAAATCTGCAACAAGCCGGCGATGTGGGGCTAGGATGGCGCTAGGTGGCTAGGCAGCGGCTAGGCGGGTGCTCGGCGGGCGCTAGGCGGCTAGGCGGGGGCTAGGCGGGTGCTAGGCGGGAGCTAGGCGGCTAGGCGGGCGCTAGGCGGCTGGGCGGCCTCCTAGGCGGGTTGGGTCTTTTTACGATGCCGAAGCTGGAGGACGACGCAGCAGAAACCGAAGAAAACCAATCGGAGCTGTAGTTTGATAAAGAAGCGGAATGGCTGTGACTGCGAGTGCAAGCTTCGTGTTAATATTTGAAGAGTATAGCCGTTCGGCTATACTCTTAAAATATTCGAATATATTAATATTTAAAGAGTCTAACCATTCGGCTACACCTTTAATATATTGAAACGTATTTACCCTTTAAATATACATTTTTGTCCTATCGTTTTAAGGTATAGGGCTAAAATACGACTTTAGCCCATTGGGCTAGATTTATTTCTTCAATTATTTTATTTATACAAGCGATATTGGGGAATTTAAATTTAAATTCTTTCCGATACCTCCTATTCTAATGATTTCCAACTATTAGCCAATTGTGCAAGAATAAAAAAAAATGGATTTTATTTATAACAAATAATATGGGTTAAACCCATATATAGAACAACAAAAAATAGGAATTCGCCAACATGTTGTGGATCAAAGAATGTTGAATTTCATAGTATAAAATTGCTTGTATAGGAATTTACTTTTAAAAATGTATCCATCGTAATTATGAACTAAACCCAATTACAGCTTTTTTTCTCATTGCACTTGACAACCCTTCTCTTATGCTATGAGATATATCAGTCCGCGATGTACTCTATGCAGATGAAAAATTGGATACAAAACAGTTTAACGAGATAATGAAGAGAAGTTTGCAGCTCTATTTTGAAATAAATTGAAGGTAACATAAATCATATGACATTGATATACGAACTATTCTAAATGAGAATTCAAACAACATGCGTTAGATGAGAATTAGCATCTCATTCTTAGGCCTTGTATAGGATTTTTTTTTCCGCCAAAGACTTGCTTCACTTTAAAGTTAAGCAGTTTAAGGTGTTTGGTAAAAATAAAATATTCCAATTATTTTAAAAGCAGTGTCCTTTTAACAGCAGCTTTTAAAAGTAGACTCTGGGTTGCTTTTCAAAACTGCTTTCAAAAGAAGCAGAGATGAACCTTTAATGAATTCTTTAAATTCCCAAAATACCATAATTCATTTTAAACAATGACACCACCTCCACTTCCACACCACTTTCACATCCAACTCTACCACTTGCACCACCACATTCACTACCTCCACAACCACCGTTGCCGCCACCACCACCATAACCACCATCTCCTCCACCACCACCTCCTCCACCTCCACCTCCACCTCCACCACTGCCACAACTACCACCACCTCCTCCAAAAACTCCACAACCAACCACCACCACCACCACCACCATTACCACCACTACCACCTCCTCCACCTCCACCTCCACCACCACCACCCCCACTACCACCACCCCCACCACCACCATTACCACCACAACCACCACCTCCTCCAAAACCTCCACATCCACCATCTCTACAACCAACGCCACCACCACCACCATGCTGCCACTGCCCCCACCACCACCACTACCACAACCACCAACTCCACCTCCTCCACCTACACCTCCACCACCACCATGTTACCACTGCTGCCACCACCACCACCTCCACAACAACCATCCTCACGACCACCACCAACTCCACCTTCATCACCACCACCACCTTAACTCCATCAACACCACAACCGCCACATGATTAGTAAATAACATTTTCAACATCATGTCTATTTTAGTCATTATTCACAGTTACAACAATTTTATTTTAAAATTTACCAAACGCTTTTAACATTGCTTTTTGTACTAACATCACTTTAAAAATATTGTTTACCAAACATGGAGCTGCTTTACTTTACAACTAATTATTTTCAAATCACAGCAAAAAGCAACTTTTTTTAAAAGTGACAGCAATTCCAAACTGGGCCTTACATATTACATATGATTTCATTTGTCTATTGGTTGTGCCTGTTGTTAAACTTGTGCAACCAACATTCTTTTTTCACCAAGAAATTTTTCCTAAACCTCAAAGAAATTTAGCTAGGAAAACCTTTGGTGGGAAAGGAAGGTTAGGATAGAAATTGAGGCAGAGGCAAGGCTAAAGAACAATCACGAGCACATGTGATATTACAGAAAATGTAACGAAGGAATTTTGAACGACCATTTTCCAAATTAAGCAAACATCTTATAATGAAATCAAGACAGGAACTTATAACAAGCCCTCGTTGGAGTAACAATGTCCAAAAACACAAGATGAACACCGCACACACACATAATTGCTCAATTGTGTTGTAATTATAAAAAAGATGAGATATCACTTTGTACAATCAAATAGTTCTTCATTCCTCGTTGCCCAAATCATTGAACGCATCACGCAAATCATTGAGCATTTCATCCGACGTCTCCTCTACATGCAGATGAAATGAGTCTCCATCAACAGGAAGAACCAAATTGTCCATACCACGAAGAAATTCAGAAAATTCAAAACCCTCGCACATAAATTTACTAATATGAGACGCATGTGCTTTGATATTTCATCGTCGTTGTCATTGAAACCGGACCAATCTTTGGCGTCCAACATCACCAGATCTTTGCATCAGTGCAGCAACGTGACAAGACCATCCCGATTAACTTTTGCACCTTTCAATTTTAAGTATCCCAACTTCACAATTGACAATGCCCCACATCCATGAACAGAGCCTTTGGACAAATCTAAACCATAAAAATTCTTGTAATGTGTTTGTATAATTGCAAGTATTTTCGCCAAATTTAAGCATGAACCCAATGATAACACCTCCAAGTTTTTCCACTTGCCAATCAACTCTAGGTTCGTGTGTTTGCAATGTGTTTGTATAAATCCTGCCATCTTCCGTTGTCCATCTGCAAGAGTATGACAAGGAATTTAAAAAAAAAAAAAAAAAAAAAAAAAAAAAAAAAAAAAAATGAGACACAGATCACACTTAAGTTGAAGAATGCAAGTCTAAATGCATATGGTAATCATTTATAATAAGAACCAACAAGAGAATTAATTGATGGAGTGTTGGAAAATTGTTCATTCAACAAGGACTTTCTGCATTCCAATGCAGTGCATGCTCTGGTTGTTCCGAAGGACATCTCGCATTCCAATGCAATGCATGCTTTGTAGATTCAAAAGGACTTTGCACCAGGGACGGATCCACGTTGTGGGCTGTCTGGGCTACAGCCCATACGAATATTTTTTTGTATTTGTAATACCAATATTCTTAAGATTTACAACAACAACAAAAAAACTTAAAAGAGATAGCCCATCCCAAAGCTGCAAGAAAAAAGAACAGAGAGATGGAGCAAACGGAGAGAGAAAAGGAAAAAGAATAAAGAAAGAGGGAGAGGGAGAGAGAGAGAGAGAGAGAGGAAAAAAGAATTTAAAAAAAGAGAGAGACAAGAAAATATAATAAAAAAGAGAGCAGGGAAGATATGTGTTGGGATGAGATGTGTTTTTATTTTGTTAGGTTCCCTGCCCCACAAAATGGGATATTTTTATTTTATTATTACTTTCTTTTTTAATTTCAACTCCTTATAAATATTTTTTTTTTCCTTTTCTTTCTTTGTTTCCCTTCAATCCCTTCCAAATATTTCAACAATATTATCAATAATTCTAACATTTTCTCTATTTCAAATGTTGTATAATAACAAAAAGTTCTAAATATGATGAAGAAAATATACTGAAAAAAGAGTGCTTATATAAAATAAAAATATAACAAACTAGGGCTTATGATTTACCCCAAAAAAATTTAGCCACCCCATGTGGGTTAACTCTAGTTTTTAGTTCCTAAAATCTATTATCCAAGCCTAAAAATCTACAAAAACCAACCAAAATCCACAAAACTCACCAATTTTTCTTAATACATTTGTACTTAAGGTAAATTTAGCCCACTCGATTTGCAATTCCTGGATCCATCCCTGCTTCGCACATTTCAATGCAGTGCATTGGTTTTGGAGGCTGATTAGGGCTAAGCACAGTTTGATTAACCGGACCAAGTGGTTGGAACTGCCTACCAAATTGAAACCAATTAAGTTGATGAAGGAAATTATGGGACCAACATCGACCGGCCACTCTCATCTACCGACCACAGTCGGTTCATGACCAAGCAAATGGTTCGTTGCAGGTCGGTTTCAACGAAGAGAGAGAGAGAGAGAGAGAGAGAGTTGAAGTACTAATCATGCATTATTGCAATACTTAACATGTGAAGCAGTAGACGTCCTGAATAATGAGGATGGCATAAAACTGCTCGGATGCTAGTGAGGGGAATTTATTCCACCCATTTAGGAAATGCCGATTAAACTCATTTGTTGAAGACCCAAATAAAAGGTAACAATTATAAACTAGAACCCCAATTAACTAACAATTATTCATGGAAATTATCGAACACTATAAATATGGCAACATATGTGTGTGTATTAACCATATGCTATTGTTGAATGGAATGGTAATGATATACCAAGGTCATAAACTCATACTTGCATAGGAAAGAGAATAAGTCAACTCTAAATTAGATCATGATAATCTTTTTTAAAGTAGTTTAGTCTGCAATGTATAGAACCATTAATTTAGCCAATCACATATTCGTAGCATAAAGTTTTCCATACCTTCAACCACCATCTCCTTCCCCTCTCTCTATATAACCATCTCCCTGTTACTTCATGTGTGCAGCATCAAATGGAAGACGTCTTTTTGCTCTCGGATGGAGGTTCGATTCCCATCTCCCTCTTGTTGCTTAGGCAACTTAAACCCTCAACATAGTGAGGTGTGGAGCTGGGTTTGAGTTAGTGCGCTAACTAGGTTGTTTTTTCTCCCCTAATGGCTCTATCTTTGAGGTAACCCGGACTAGTAACAACCGATCCTAGTAAATAAGATATTATTTCATAGAATTGGTTGTTCCCTCTCTCTCCTTTCTTCTAGAGGAATTGAGTCGTTCATTTCGATCTAACTTCGTTACTATACCCCGGTCTCACTTCTACAACGTACTATCCTAGACCTCTGTCTATCCCGAATTGATATAAATTCATAGTTAGGTTAGCCAGCCCGGTAACCCCGACAAGTGGGAGGGTCTGCACTTTCTCTGTCATATGATTCTGCCAGACAATTCTATTTCATTCATTCTCCATTCAAAACCGCCTACTCCTGGAACCCATAATCTGACGATTCTTTCATATGATTTTTTTTCGTGGAATTCGACATCAGTGATCTACGACCATCCTTTCTTCTTTCCATTCCAAAAAGGAATGGTTGGTATGTGGTCCGTCCTTAGAAATACCCCGGGAATCCCCCTTTTGTGATTGTTCCAAAGCGTGCTTCCGTTTCTTGTTCTTCGAGCTCAACCGATCATGCTTCTTTCTCAGTTGCGTGATTCCAAGCTACTAGATTCGGATGTAGGTGAGTCTGATTGTTCTGACTTCAACTTTTGTAAGTTTCCGGATAGCGAACTGGGGCGAGCCTATATAATGATAATGTAATAAAGCAAACTGTAAAATACCCAACATCGATCATCAGAGGGATAGTAGTGGACGAGACAAGCTCCTGCGTCTACAATAGATCCTGCAGTTTCAGCTTCGACACCAGCGTATGTTTCGGATGCGTCTTCTTATGCTCACCAAATTGAAACTTCATTTCTTCTATACTCGGATCTAAGGAATCTAAGGAATCATTCCAAACATTCCCCACTAGCACACTTCCAGAATCATGGGAAACATAAATATATAAGTTTAGGGGCATCATCTATAATAAGGTAACAAATCAATTATGCAACAATAAAATTATTTTTATAAGTAACATTATATACAGTGGTTTTCATGAAGTCTTATCTCCTCAGTAGTCTTTTGCTTGTGAATGTGGTCGTTCTCAAACAAAATTATTAATGATTCAGGATCCAGGGAATTGTGGTACACAAAGCATCAACCAGTTTTTGTACATATGTTCTTCTTTTGATCCTGAAGAAAACTTCACTTTCATCCTACAAGTGGAAAGATAAAAATCACAAGACTAGAAATGGCAAGAAAAAGCATGATGCTAGATTGGCCCAAGAGATTTGACATTATTAATGGAATTGCTCGGGGGCTCCTTTATCTTCATCATGTAGGTCTTTTTAGGTGTGCAGCGTAACCCGGCAGATAGGCCAAGCATGCCAGTTGCAGTTGTAATGTTGAGTGGTGAAAGGTCATTGCCTCAACCTCAAAAACCTGGTTTTTTATAGTGAAAGGGATCTCAATGAACTAGAAGTCGATCCTTCTCCTAAAGCATTTTCAGCTAATGAAGTCACAGTCCTTTTATACTAATGGAGGCTGGATAAACGATATTTCATGTTGGTGTGTTAATCTAGTGCTTTTGAAGTCAGTTTGAAAAGTTAAATATAATTAAGAGATTCCCAAAGCATGCATTAGCAAATGCACCCTCTAATTTTTTTATATTTGTTTTCTTTGGAGTTGAGGTAGAGTTCACACTACAGAAACACAGATGCTGACAAAAGAACTAATATAAAAGCTTAAATGAATTAGATTTTTCACTTGAGGTGGTGAAATATTTCAATTTTTTTTTTTCTGTTCTTTGGTGGGTTGGTTTTTTGTTCCTATGCGAGAGGAGGAGGAGACAACTCTTATTATTATTATTATTATTATTATTATTATTATTATTATTATTATTATTTCTCCCTGCAAACACGAGGGCATGATCAACTGTCAAAATCTATAACAAAAATGCAATATCCAAAGAATGAAAAGCAGCCCAACCAAGAAGAACCATCAATGGATGAATATTGAATGCATAAAAATTTATCAAGCTTCAAGGAAGAAGAACCAAATTACCAATCAATCTATTGCTTAACCAAAACAGAAATAAATAGTCAGAATTTGAGATTGGGGCCTAAAAACCGAACCTTGTTATTGGCAAGACCATAGAAACTCCATGATAGGATAGCTTCATCATTTTCCTTCCACTGAAGACAGACACCAAGTCAGCAAATTTTGTATTTTTTTCTTCTGCACCATGTCGTCAATGCGAAGAGAGAAGAGAACAAGGCGGAGTTGGCAGAGGGAGGAATTGTCGTCGTTGTCATTGGTATGGTGAGGTGAACATGTCGTTTGGGAGAGAGCTAAGAGAGAAGAGAATGAGGCGGGAAATAGGGAGAGAAATGGAATTAGATGAATTAATAGTCTCATGACCTCTTCTTCTATGGACCTGACTTGTGCTTCACTACATCGGCTTCCCAATCTCAAGCTCAAATTTGCAACTAAATTTTTTACAGACTTTCAGTCAATCACAGTGTTCCAAAAATCGGCCCTAGGTGGGCAAAAATACCATTTTACCCAACTGGGCTAGAGTTATTTCTTCAAGCGATATTAGTGCTCAAAATGCTCGAATAGATTAATTTCTTCTTTATATAATTTTTTAAGAATTCCTAGAATACCATATAAAGAAATGAGAATATCTATTTATACATATACAATGGCGGATCCAGGAATTTTTCAGGGGAGGTGCAATATTTGAAGGGCTAAAAATTCGCAAAGGACTCAAGCAAGGTCCTGGATTGAAGTACTAACATCCGTGTAGTGTGTTATAAAAAATAAAAAAAAAGGCTAAAAATTCAAAAACTAATTTAGACAACCAAATGCCCTTAGAATTTAAACAAAACTAATGTCATTCATAATTAAAACAATAAGAGTTTTACATCTATAACTAATTGATTATAGTCTATATGGAATATCAATTAATATGAACAAAATCCTTGTCAGTGACACAATTAGTTTACCAAAATTCATATCAAATATGAACAAAATCCATGTCAATTACATAATTAATCTAACAAAAGTCAATACCAATTAATCTAACCAAAATCAATGCCAATTAATCTAACCAAAAGCACATGTGATTTGGAGGTCACGAGATAAAAGTACACGTGACTAAAAGTTCGGGGTAATTTTCGGTGAATTTTTCGGAACGCATATGAGTTTTTAATGAATTTTTTAAGTTAGGCCAATTAGAAATAGACATATTTCAGCTTGCTATTGGACCATTTAAAAAAAAAGAGAAGTGTTGACGCAGAGTCTTCTTCTTCCTCGAACTGTGGCTCTGCAACTTAACTTCACATATTCTATAAAAACTTAGAAAATTCATAACTTTGGTTGTGGAGCTCCGATTGATGAACCATTTTCTCCTACATGCTCATGAGATTGAGCCCAACAATCTAAGGTAAATATTCAGGGTCTCACTTAGCAGCAAACAAAACAACGTCTTTGAGGCATTTAGTCGAACAATTGGTGGTCACTGACAAAGGGGCAAATTATGGCATCCCAAAAGAAGCTTTCGGCGAGGGGAGGTGCAGCTGCACCTCCTTGCGCCTCTGTGGATCTGCCAATGTCCCCTGCATTTACTTGCAATAAGGAATGAAAAAAATAAGTGGAGACCTCACCTCAAAATCCGTAATCACATCCCCTGAAAACGCTGGCAGACCCATAAATTTTTTAGCTGAGATACAATTTTGAAAGGCTAAAAGCTCTTTGTGGATGAACATCTAAAGCTTTTTTACTTAGATTGACCTTAGGTCCCTTCATGCATTCATATCATACATGAAAAATTGTTTTATGTAAAAATATTGACTAAGTATGAAAAATGATTTTTTGAAATAATCATTTTATGAATATAATTTTTGGTGGCTTTTATTCCTTACACATTAAATAAGAAAACTTAATTTTATGGGATTTTATTATGAAGTATATATATTGACTTAATGTGCCATCATTTTTAGCCTAAATCGTATTTTGCACTAAAACTGATTTTTCATATTTTGATTTGGTGGGAATTTGATTTTCTAGTGTTTTTATTTGAATCCGGGGGGTACTTCTTTATTTACATTATAAACTTAAGTAAATGGAGTAATATAAAAATAAATGAAAGTAAAAGAAAGACATTTACTTAAATGCTGAAAATGAAAATTGTGTAATTGTGCACCACCACCAGCTGAGCAAAGGGACAATTTGAAGCACCTACAATGGTTTTTCCGGCGAAAAAATGTGCAGTTGCACCTCCTTGGGCCTTAATAGGTTTGTCACTACCTCAAAACCAGGAATCAGATAAACTAGGGGGTAGTCGATACAATTCTCATTCCTTTTTTCCCTTAATCACACCCCTAAAATCTTATGGCACATTTATTTATAAGTAATGGGAATGAGAAGAAAGGGAATGATTTTCATTCCGAGCTTCCCATGTGTTTACTTACACATAAGAAATCATTAAATATGTGGGTCCTACTTAAAAATCATTAATCAAATACCCCAAGAAATAGGGATTGGATAAACTACCCCTCCTAGTTGATCCGATTCCCATTATTTGTTTATACTATTCTATTTCTTCCCATACCATTGATGTTAAGTAGACATGCCCAATGTAACGGTCCTAAATTTCGAGAAATTTATTAGTGTAAGGTTTGTGATGTTACCAATATTATATTATAATATATATATACACACACATTAATACTATACAAAAAAAAAGAATCACACGATACCATCACATGCAAAAATATTAATATCACTTAAAACAAGTACTTGTTCTTGTTTGATTATGCCAACATAATTAAGTTGCCTCGGCTAGTCACCTATATATCATGGCCATTGGCCATGCACATGTCATGTCAGCCCATGGCTTTAGACACTGCATGTATGTATGCTACATTATCTTCATGCATGATGCGTGCAACCCGTTGTCTCAGCCATGTCGAAGGCAGCATATGGCCAGACGGTGTTGGCTGCCCCCAGAAATACATGCCGCTTGTCAGATATGCTGACAAATAATTGCTTGCCATGTTTAGTTTTTTATAGAAAACTTTCACGAATATCTTTGCCTGTAAGCAGATGAAAAGCCAACAATAATGACACGAATTGATTTTTGTCTTTCATAACTTTCTCTTCTACAGACATACGGGTTTTGGAGAAAAAAGTAATTAACCTTGCTTTTAGTCTTACAGAAAAATAAAGGTCAAAATGAATTCATAAGCCAATACAAACAGGAGATGAATGTAAATAGACTACGTACGTACCATGCATGTTGGTATCTGAAACGTTCAGCCCTAATCAAACCGGAGCTAGGATCAATTTACTACGTCCTTTATTGTCCCTTTATTGTATAATAATATAAAAAGAAAAACTCAGTATTGGTTTTAAATTGAAAAACTCTACACGTTTAACATTATATAAAATAGTAATGCTATTTATATACACAATTAAAATTGATTACATTAGTCGACCACCTTATGTGGTGGCTGATGTGATCATGTCATGTAGCCAATTGAAGTAGTAATTATAAAGAAAAGTCTCTTTATATTCTCATATCAATCACACTGTGCTATAAATTTTCATATGCAGTATTAAATTAAATTAATATAATAAAGAGAGAATTTAAAGTTTGCAAAGTAGATTATTCCAAATCATAATTTAAGCGTGTGTACAAACTCATTTCTGTATAATCAAATGTTCGACCCTAATGTGTTTGCAAAGTTTGCAAAGGGTCAAGCAGTGTTTTTTAAAATCCGTAGGCCACCATTGTATTGTCCTCTACATAACCAAGACAGCAGCGAAAGTCCCAACGGCCAAAGATCCAGCAACAGTGAACCTATTCAAATTGGCACCACTCGGGGCAGGTACAGGAGTCTCAACAGAGACGTCGGAAGAGGGAGAAACCTCTGGAGAGATGACAGGGGAAGACGAGGGAGGAGAAGGGGGAGAGGCAACGGGCTCGTTAGAAGGAGCTGCCTCCGGTGAAGTGCTCGATGGAGAGGGAGTGGTGGCTGGTGGAGTACTGCTCGATGAAGAAGGAGTGGCGGCAGGTGGAGTGCTCAATGGAGAAGGAGAAGATGCAGCCATTGGTGGAGTGCTCAATGGAGAAGGAGATGCAGTCATTGGTGGAGTGCTCAATGAAGGAGAAGATGCAGTCATTGGTGGAGTGCTCAATGAAGGAGAAGATGCAGCCATTGGTGGAGTGCTCAATGGAGAAGGAGATGCAGCCATTGGTGGAGTGCTCAATGGAGAAGGAGATGCAGCCATTGATGGAGTGCTCAATGAAGGAGAAGATGCAGCCATTGGTGGAGTGCTCAATGGAGAAGGAGATGCAGCCATTGGTGGACTCAATGGAGAAGGAGAAGATGCAGCCATTGGTGGAGTGCTCGGTGGAGAAGGAACAGTTGGAGAAGTGCTCGGTGGAGAAGGAACAGCTGTTGGTGGAGTGCTCAATGGAGAAGATGCAGCAGATGTGGACGGCGATGATGCAGGGGATTGGGCCCTTGTTGAGGCCACTAAGAGTGCAGCCATTAGAACCAGAACCACATGGATGGAGCGAGCCATTGTAGAGAGAGAGAAAGAGAGAGAGAGAGAGGGAGGGAAGGTTAGGGTATAAGAGGGAGAGAGAGAGAAGGTTTAGGGTTTGAGAGGCAGAGAGGCGAAGGATGGGTTTAAGGAGAGAAGGGAGATGGATTTTTATATAGGAACGTTGAGGAGACTTGGTTGACAGATTTTCGTTGGTTTATGAGAAACTTCTTTGACCTTCCGAATCTCAAGGGATTTATTTGGAGATTGTGGAGAAAATACTTAGGTGTGCCGGTACTCTACACCTATATCTCTCATCACGTGTATCAATTAGTAGAAAATCGGTATATATGACCGAGATAGGTAAGTTTTTCTAAAAATCGTTTTACCAACTCTAGCAAAGCACGGTTTGAGTCTTGGGAGGATGGTTTTGGCAGTTGGAGGCCGATCAATATTCAGAGAATGCTTTGGCCAACACAAAAATTTGATTCCTTGTTATGTATCCATAATGCATTACACGACTGTATAATTAAAGGATCTATAATATGAGTTGTCCAAAGAATAACTAATAATCAGTTGTGCTTAACAAACGAACCAAATTTAAATAGATCATTAATTTTTGGCCAATTACCCACCAACATCGTCTTGGGGTTGATAAATTGATTATGTACAACATATAAGTTGCCTTCCTTTGTGGCTTTGCCTAGACAAGTAACTACCATGTACGTATGTGAGTCGGCGGTGTGATGGCCACATCGTCTTATGGTGTTATCAATCCACTCATGTTCTAATATGTCTATTATATATATGTATATATATACCTAAGTTCATTAAATATCAATCACATGGTTTGCTATAATTGAATGAGTAACACTATGTTTGCATTCATTTTAATTAGATCTCTAAACTCAAGAGAAATAAATTGCCCCTCCCTTTAAACTCAAGAAGCATAAGCTCTATTTTACTACTTTTTGTTTAAGCAGAAATAAATATCATCCAGCTTCAAAGTCTATATCAAGAAATATCAAGAAATTATATAACAGAAGAAAAAGATGATTATTATATACTTTCATGAGGGATCCATAAAGTTCCTTAGAAATTTATTCTAGTAATTCATCATTCCGCTATATATGGTTGTAGAAATTCTTCTTGTCTTGCACAATCACTCTTGACTCATGTATTAATGTATTGGGGGTTCCTTGGGAGAAAGTGTCCTTGGAGAAGAATAATCTACCCCAATCTCATCTTCGCCACCTGAGTTATGCATCGGAGGGGGTTGGAGTGGAGGATGTGTCCTTGGAGGAGCATATTCCACAATGAACTCATCATCTTCGCCACCTGAGTTATGCATCGGAGGGGGTTGGAGTGGAGGATGTGTCCTTGGAGGAGCATATTCCACAATGAACTCATCATCTTCGCCACCTGAGTTATGCATCGGAGGGGGTTGGAGTGGAGGATGTGTCCTTGGAGGAGCATAATCCACACTGAACTCATCATCTTCATCTTCTGAGTTATGCATTAATATTGGAGGGGGCTGGACTGGAGGATGTGTCCTTGGGGGAGTATAGTTGTCTACCCCAAACTCATCATCTGATCTTCGCATTAATATTGGAGGAGGTAGGACTGGAGGATGTGCACTTGGAGGAGTATAGTCTACCCCAAACTCTTCTCCTTGGTCCTGTGTTTGACAATATTAATTCACATTTTTAAACATTAATTCAACTTACTTTTTTTATACCCACATGGATGTCATGTTGGCCAGTTGCTGAAGATCCTTCTCGGGCTCCTGCAGGGCGAATTATTCCTTGGAAAAAAAAAACGATTTAGTAAAATAAAAACAAATATAAGGCTTTATATTTCATTTAGACCCAAAACAGAAAAAAAGAGATCTATTTTCATGACTATATCTTACCTTCAACATTATGGAGGTGAAGGAACAAGAGAACAAGGAAGAAAAATATGCAACACGTTGTCTGAGAAATTGAGTTTCTCATGTCAGCCTCAGGCCCTCACCAACCTTAGAATTTGTCAATCTAATAAGGTTTTGAGATGTATATAAGTATAGAAAATACAAGTGAAGACGAAGACAATTTTCGGCATGTATATATATATACACACGTATGTATGCGTGCATGCATATGGGACCTCCATTGGAATCCAAGGGAAGCTAGGCAATTGACTCCGCAAAAAGACCCTCCCATTTATGTTTCTTTGAATTAATTGGATTCAACCAATACTTGTATGGGCAGTTGAGCTACTTATGAATGTTATGGCCATGCAAAAACCATCACTGGGTCGGTGATAAAAATAAACTTCTGAATGGGACATCAGAACAAGATATAGAATAAAAATCAATGGTCTTGATTTTTCTATATATCTGGGCTGTATGCCAAGGAAACTAATAATTAGATACGATTAGCTAGTTAGCTAATTAGTGACAATAGAAATGGTGGATGCGTATTATCTTCTCTTTTTTCTTCTTCTTTTTTTCACACACGCTACAAGAATGGTATGACTCAAACTCAAAAACCTTGCTTGGGAAGCAATTGCGTGTTATCAAAGTTGAAGGACAATATTGTATCTTTATATGAGCCGGTGAACAAAGAAAGTTAGGCCGCTAGGCCTTAGGGTTTAGGTTTTGTTAGTGTGGTTTTGGCTAATTAATTTGAACAAGACCCAGATCACAGATGTATTGCAGAATTTTATTTTATTTTCTTTAGGGAAGGTGATTATCAAATAAATAGATTCTCTATAAATAAATAAATAATAAAAGGTACATTATTTAGAGAAAAAAAAAGGTTCATTTAAAAAAATTCATAAAACAAAAAATAAATAGATTATCAAATAATTTTCATAAAACAAGTAATAGGTACATTATTTAGAGAAAAAAATAGATACAAAATTTAGCCAAAAAATAGGTTCATTATACTAGGTAAATTGTTTTACAAGGTACATTTTTAGAGAAAAAAAATAGGTACATTATTTGGAGAGAAAAAATAGGTTCATTAAATTTTTTTTTTTCATAAAACAAACAATAAAAAGATGATCAAATTATTTGAGAAAAAAATAGGTACATTATTTAGAGAAAAAATAGGTTCATTTAAAAAAAATGTTTTAAAAAAAAACAATAAATAGATTATCAATTTATTTTTCAACATAATTAGAATGTACACTATTATTCATAAAACTATAATAAAATAGATTACTAGTCATATAATTCATAAAAGGCTTAATTATGTACATGCCCCCTGTGCTTTCAAACTTGTCTCAGATTACCACATGTGTTTGCAAACGTCTCAAAGTACCCCCCAACCTTTTAAAAACCGTCTCACGTTACCCGTTCCGTCAATTTTTTTGATGTTCCGTTACGGACGTTGGGCACCATTTCCTTTTTTCTTCTTTTTTTTCTAGAACAACAGCCCCTCCCCTTTGTTACTGTTCATCCGATCAGTTTTTAGGCCGCCATCTCCTCCTCTGGCCATCCCAAGCGACGACATGGGTATCAAAAGAACTAGCACGTTGTCCTCTACCAGCCTCACATCTCAGCTGCTGCCAACCGCCGTCTGGATCGCCGGAAAAAGTAAGAAATTGGCTGGTTTTTACCCAAAATCTCCATCGCTCGTTCGGGCGATTCCGAGCGCCATTTGCTTCGATCCAAGTATGGGTTTTCAACCTCTCGAGCTGTTCTTGCTGCTAGTTGTGTTGGTTAGGAGAAATAAAAAACTGACGAAATGGGTAACGTGAGACGGTTTTTAAAAGGTTGGGGGATACTTTGAGACGTTTGCAAACACAAGTGGTAATCTAAGACAAGTTTGAAAGCACAGAGGGCATGTACATAATTAAGCCTTCATAAAAGGAAAACAACATAATTTTTTATTAAATAAACCAAAACATTAATCACCTACAGATTACTAATACGTTAATGTTGAATTTAGTATTTAATTTCAAATACGTTTCTAAATTAATTCCTACATCCATTACAATTATTTGGAGATCTTTCCAAATTCAATATGTGTCATTAGTTACACCCCCTATAACACATTAACTTATAAATAGGGGTAGTTTTGGAATCCGAAAAATACAATAAATTAGATTTTAAGTTATATTAGGTAACTTGCTTAATTGGATCTTAGTTATTGAGTATTATTTGAAAAAATTGGGTATTTTAAATAGAAAAATAAAGGGAAGGGTTGTAGGTGATTTAAAATGAATTTTATGGGTCTAAACTCAATTTACTATTAAATTTAATACAAATAAGCAAATTTAATTTGTATAAATTTGAATATAACAAACAACAAATATCACGTAAAGTAATAATGACTTGTCTTGAAAATCCATAGGCCACCATAACAGAGTTACAGTTTGATTGTGCTCTACATAACCAAGACAGCAGCGAAAACCCCAGCTGCTACAGATCCGGTGACTGCAAACCTATTCAAAGCGGCACTGCTAGGGCCGGGTGCGGGAGCCTCTCGTGAAGAGGGAGAAATCTCCGGAGAAATGACAGAGGAAGATGAGGGAGGAGAAGGCGGGGAGTCGGCAGTGGGCTCACTGGCAGCCGGTGAAGTGGTGGATGGAGAGGGAGCGGCAGCCTTAGGTGGAGTGCTCGATGGAGAAGGAGAAGACGCAGCCTTAGGTGGAGGGCTCGATGGAGAAGGAGCAGCTGATGTTGTGGTGCTCGATGGAGAAGCTGCAGGTGACTTGGTTGGTGAAGATGTAGGGGATTGTGCCCTTGTTGAGGCCACCAAAAGAGCAGCCATCAGAACAAGAACCGCATTGGTGGACCGAGCCATTGTAGAGAGAGAGAAGGGTTTTTCTTTTTTTGTTTTGATCGAAAGAGAGAGAGAAGGTTTAGGGTTTGAGAAGTTGAAAAGGCAAAGGATGGGTTTAAGGAGAGAAGGGAGAGGGATTTTTATAAAGGAACGTTGAGGAGACTTGGTTAACAGATCTTGGTTGGTTTCTGAGAAAATTCGTTGACCTCCTGATTTCAAGGGACATGGGGTGGTGGAGATTTTCTCCTTTGATAAAAGGAAAGTTTTTCCAATTGGATTTGGTTAGAAATTGTGAAGAACTTAGGTGTCCTGGTTGTATATAGACAAATTTTTAGAAAACGTTTAACATGGAAAACGCGGTTTGTGCTTACATGGAGGAATGAAAATGTCTTAATTTCCTCCTCAAATGCACCAATTAAACTTTCAAATAACAAGACATAGTAGTGCATAAATAAGAGGAATTTGATACACCTTCAAGAGGTTTCAGAATCACATTAATTGCACATTACAAGACTATTTCTGTATAAATAAAGGATCTAATTAGGGTTGGATCAGAAGTACAGCCAAGGGAGAAGAAAGACGAGTATAATACAGAAAACATCAAACACATGTATTTAAGCTGTGAATACGTTAATACAACGACGATATCGAGCTTTTATATGTTCTTTGAAACAGAAAATGTGTCTGCAAAATGCTGAATTGCTCAATCAAGCCACATTTTGTCTATACTTGAAATCGCTCCTTCAAGTCATGGCTCCACCATAGCTTCGACACTTGCTTTTAAGCCCTTTCAGTAACGTTGTTACATAGTTGATACTCCGTGGCACATCTCTTCCCTCCACAGCTCATAATTCCTCTATACAGGCCACTCTTCCTTGAAACATTCTAGTGTACATATACAAGGTATATGTGTAATGTTGAAAATTAAAGGCTCCATTCGTAAATTTCAAAACGTGGATCGGTTTGTCCACTATTTTTGGGCCAGGGACTGTTTGTTCTTTGAGCCTTTTATTTGGACTAATCTGTCAACACTCCATGGACTGTTTGTTATGAGATTCAGCCCTGTGTAACTTTGATTATGTTAATGCAGTATTCTTTTCTCTTCTTTTCAATTGTGTTTTCTCTCTCTCCGTCATGGGTTGTCTCTAGCATCTTGAGTTTCCTTTCCTTTTTCATGGGTTGTCTCTCGCATCTTGTGTTCTCTCTCCCTCTCTTGACTACTTTCTCATTTTGATGAGTGTCACCTTTTCTCCTCTATTTTTGTCTCTCCTTTCTCCATCTTTATCTTGAAAGGATTTTATCTCTATGTGTTTTGCCCACACTCTATTTTCCTTTCTCTATCTCACTTGGTTTCCTCCTTTATTTCTTATTATTGTTTTTTGGGTCAATCATCCCTCTTTATTTTAATCTCTATGGGCCTCTATCCTCTTGTGGTGATATTTTCTTTATTACTTCTCTATTCCCCTATGGTTTTCTTCCCCATACCTTATTGTTTCTATGATGCTTTGAAATTCAAACTTGCTCATGCTCTTGTTTTCTATTCTCTGTGTCACAAGTTGGTTTCACCTCCTATTCTCTACTGTTGTGATGCACCCTCTCTTAACCCCTTTATTCCCTTCAAATATTCATTATGTTCTCTCTGCACGCATCCCTTTCTGCTTTCCATGTGATGAATTTTCTTTTGTTTCCATTCCTCATCTTTATTATATTTATAAATAAAAAAATGCACTTGTCTAAATTATTTTTCTTTCTCATTCCTCTTTACAACATTGTCTATTTCTCTTTATCCTACCTAGAGGGTGATTCCTAGGTAGCGTTATGTTTCTCAAGTGCCTAGAGTTGTTTCCTAGGTACATTTGACTTGCATGTCAGCCTGTCATTTATATTCCTTCCTTCCTTCCTTCCATGAGCCCATGCTCTCCTTCACTTGCTGCCTTTTAATTAGGGGTGGAATTTTAGACTGAAAAATCACAAAAACCAACTGACAATTTACCGCAATGGAACTGCAATTGCTAGAAACCAAACCGCATTTGCGGTTACGGTTGCGGTTACTGCAAACCGCGACTATATTAAAAATAAAAAATAAAATTGCATTTTGTAGATAGTATTGGTGCTCAAACAATACAACGGGGTCCTTCAAATCCACCCTCCACCACCAACACTTGAGTTTGTAACTTTAGTTTGTAATATTGGTGCATTGCATTTTCCTTTTAGTTTGTAACTTTAATTAACTTTGAATTGGATTTATCCTTTGGGTTGTAACTTTAATTAATTTTGCATTGCATTTTCCTTTTGGTTTGTAACTTTAAAGGATTTGGAATTGGAATGCTTGAGAAGTTGAGGTTATGAATGCTTGAGAAGTTTAACTTTAATTGGAATGCTTGGAATTGTAACTTTAATTTTCTTTAGGTTGTGAATGCTTGAGAAGTTGAGGTTGTGAATTTATATTTTTGGGTTAAAATATGCTTGAACTCAAAAGGCTTCAAAAGAAGCATCAAAATTAGGCCTAAAATGTGGAAGATTGGATTTCTATGACACAAAAAGAACTTGCGGTTTTAAACCGCTAATTCATGGTAACCGACTGTTTTTTTGCGGTTTACCAATGCGGTAAACTACAAAAAATGGTCGGTTTGCGGTTTGGACAAAAATTCACGGTTACCGAACCGCAACCACCCCTACTTTTAATAGGTGTTATGTTTACTTTGTTTCTCTCATGCCGCTATTGCTGCCTTTTATTGCCGCTATTGTAACTCTAGAGATTGTAGTTCTTCTTTTTAGTTCCCTTTACTAGACTACTACAGCTGACTATTGCCGCAATCTCCATCACCATGTAGTTTCTTCAGTCAAATCTTGCTATGCTGTGCGCGCTCGATTTGCGGGGGAGTATTAGGGGGTTACAATAGTATTTCAGTTACAATAGTTAATCCTACTAATGATAGGAAATGGTCAGTTGTCAGTTACGTTGTTATTGGGTCATAACTTCATATTTATATTTATGTTTATGTTTATGATATGGAGTTGGAGGACTATTGAAATGAAAATTTTAGTTGGTGGACCAAAATGAAATTGGAGCAAAAGTTAGGGGACCATTTCGGTCAATAACCCAAGATGATATATCAAACCATAATTTATTTTTGGGGTTTTAGGTCTAATGGTCCCTGAACTTTGACCAGATTCTCATTTTGGTCCCTCAATTTTCAAAATCATTATCATGGTTCTTCAACTTTAGTTTCGTTATAACCAATGATCTTGCCGTCAATTTTGTTATCTTTTCTGTTAAATGCATGAGCAAAATGGTCTTGTTGTATTATTTTTAATTTCCACCATATGAATATTCCTTTCATCATTTGAATATTTTTAATTTACCCTAGGAGTGAAGCAATTTCCGATTTCTGGGTAACCAAAAGACTCCCATTTATAGGCGCTGGAGGAGTAGCATGGATAAGTCTTTGGCCTTTAATGCTGGCAGGTAAGACGTTGGAGGTTGAGTGTTAAATATAGTTTTTAATGATGGATGGTGAGACGGTGGAAGCTGGGTTTTAATGTTAGTGGAAGAGACATGGGTAGCTCTGGCTTTGATGCTGGTAGTACAGGCTGGTGGTTCTCTCTACTTACCCGTGTAATTGGACTCATGAAAGTGGGCCTGAGTTTTGGTGCCCCCAAGCAGCCTAAAACTTCCACTCTTTGATCCCTCAACGGGCCTTATAGGCATTTGTAACCATCCACTCAATAAGCCCCATGCATGTCTGTGGCTTGAGCCTACTTAAGCGTGTCAGGTGGTTTAACATTGGAAAATGTATTAGCTTGCACACAGTTATTTGACATTTTCTTCGCATGACATGTACACTATTTGATCATGTATAAAAAATATTCGTATATTCATTTGGGAATAAATTTCTAAAATACAGCTTGAATTAGCATGTGACAACTATTGTACATTATATTGGACTTTGAATATCCTTGGGCTTCTCATGACATTTTGGGCCTCAACAATAAGGAAAAAATCTCTAGTTTTGTTTCAACAACTAGTGAAATAATCTGAGTATACTAACTAGGATGTTATATTTCCTACTCAAAGGTTCTTAAAGGGAGCTTCAAGGATTGATCAACAATTCTACTCAACGCCACATTTGAGAAAAATATACTTGCAAGTGTCCAAAGTTGTTATTGTCATAATTATTGCTAGAGTGATTGTCTTGCATTTCCTACTGGAAATGGCAAGATGGTATCTGTAACATTGGTTACAGAAATATATGCGCACAATGAACCTCATCACAGTTTCACTTCATTCATATAATCTTTTTGTTTCACCTTCTAGTGTGATTCTTCTCTAGGTGAGTGACACCCTAGCCACATCTTTATATTCAAGTTTGGGGTACATTGTTTTGGTTACTTTTTCAGATAGGTGTATAATATATATTAAAAAGAATTAATATATATTTTTTATTCAATAATATGTGAAAATTATGTGTATAATACGTGAATTTTGTGTGTATTATTGAAATTTTGTAAAAAAAACACGTATATTAAACATGAAAATATGTACGTAATATTGAATGTTTGTTTTTAAAAAAAATGTGTATTTTACCGAATCTTTAAGACGTGTATGGAAGCATTATTGAAAAATACGTACATAAGTGTATAATACGAGTATTAAACGGAGAATGCTAAATTCTTTATAAAGATAATAACTCTGGAAATGTAAAAAAATTAAAAAAAGGACAATAGAGACTCAGGTAATGGCCTAATATTAATGGATAATACTCTAAACTACTATTATCGATAAATAAAAATCAGGGAAAAAATATTGCAAAAAAAGAAAAAGAAAAAAAGATGCTAGTATAGCCGGCTATACCATTTAAATATAATATTTAAATAGTATAGCCGCGCGGCTATACTATTTATTATAATAAAAAAGGGCCAAAAATGGCTATACGAGCTTTACATTTCCCCTCCTTGCCTGGCTCGCTTCACTGAATCACTTCCCATCAAAGTTTTCAAGTTCAAGGCCAAAAAAGAGGTGGGCAATTCCTCAGTTGAGCTCTCATGGTGCCTCCCAAGAAATCAAAGAAAAGCAAGAAAGATAGGAAATTGAAGAAAAGCTTAAGCTTGGTTCCAGTCGAGCCTAAAGCCGCATACTCTGATTGGTGGGATAGTTTCTTCAACCCAAGGTTTTTCTTTTCACTAAGCTCAGTCCCCAATTACTCTGCTTCCTGCTTTTTAGTGGAACGCATTCAGATTACTTGTAGTTTTAACTAAATTATCTTTATATTTTGTTTATTTTGGAAAATCTATGATGCACAGACATCTAGAACAGGTGGTGGATTTTGTTATGTAATGTTAAATTCGGTAATGATGTTCATAATTAGAGCTCAAAACCTATAAACTGGGCTTTTGTTCAGTTAGGCTGTTGGAAAAATCGGCCTAGGCGCTAGGCGGCCGCCTAGGCGGGTCTAGGCGGGTCCTTTTTTATTTTATTTTTTTATTTACATTTTTTTTTACTTTAGCTCAATTATGAAATCGCTTCAATTTTTGATGGCCGCTATATGAAAACTGGCTTTTGATTATGTGTTTTGCATCCTGAAAAGAGAAAGATGTGGTCGAAAAGTTATTACTAGAACTAGAGGGAGCAATAGAGATTTTAGCTTGTAAAAGTAGTATATAATTGTTAGGAATTTGGTTAGGCCTAAGTTGGATGAGTAGTTGGAAATCCTCATTGAATCAGACTTGGGGAATATACAGGCACAGAAACACATAGTCGGGCTTTGCTGCTTGTTATATGGAAGCAAGTTTTTCTGTCTTCCTATTTCCCTTTTTGTAGATTTTTTTCACTTTTTTTTCAAGTTGATTTCTGTTTTGAAGTTTCCATGATAACTCAACTTTTTTCTGTTCCCTTGTAAGAGAAGGCCTTGTGTCGAGGCCACCGTCAGTTCTCATCAACATAGAAGGAAGGCTTCTTAGTGTTGAGAAACAGGTTGCAATCGCCCTGAGAAGGTTGGCATCCGGTGAGTCTCAAGTCTCAGTGGGAGCTGCCTTCGGGGTAGGCCAGTCCACATTTTCTCAGGTGACTTGGAGATTCATTGAAGCATTGGAAGAACGTGCCAAGCACCATCTCAAGTGGCCTGATTCCAACAGAATGGAAGAAATAAAGTCCAAACTTGAAGAAGCCTTTGGATTGCCCAATTGTTGTGGAGCCATAGATGGTACACACATCATTATGACCCTTCCTACTGTTCAAACATCAGATGATTGTTGTGACCTGGAGAACTACAGCATGCTCTTGCTGCAGGGAATTGTTGACCATGAGATGAGGTTTCTTGACATTGTAAGTGGCTGGCCTGGGGGCATGACGGTGTCTAGACTTTTAAAGTGTTCAGGATTTTTCAAGCTCTGTGAAGGTGGACAGTGTTTGAATGAAAATGTTAGAACTTTATCTGGAGGAGTAGAGAATTAGAGAATACTTAGTTGGTGGGGTTGGCTATCCTCTGCTTTCCTGGCTCATAACTCCTTATGAAAGCAATGGCCTCCCAGCTTCCATTTCCACTTTCAATGCCCGCGCATAGGGCTGCAAGGTCACTTGCAGTAACGGCATTCTCACAGTTAAAGGGCTCTTGGAGAATCATTAACAAGGTCATGTGGAGACCCGATAAGCAGAAACTTCTGAGCATCATCTTGGTATGTTGTTTACTTCACAATATAAAAATTGACAGTGGAGATATATTACAACCAGATGTTGCTTTATCTGGTCATCATGACTCGGGATATGGCGAACAATGCTGTAGGCAAGTTGATCCCTTGGGGAGGACTATGAGGGATATCCTAGTGAAACACTTGCTGCACAGCAAGCAGACCGCTGCACCAAAGTGATTCTTGTTCTGCCGATCTGGTTTAAATGAGTTGGAAGTTTGGAACGGTTTCAATCTATAAAATTATTTGCTTTGGCAATTTCACCGGCAACAGCCATACACGACATGAAATGCTGAATTGCTTATCTTATTCACATTGACTTGCATAAAAGAAATGTATGTATGTTTTTGACAGACTGTGAATCAGCCATCTTTGTATGGCGGCTTAGAAAGTAGAACGGAAGCTCATTTTGTCAGAGTCTACGAGAACTTGTAACACCAAAGAAGTTTAAAGCCAAAGATATCCCACAAAATAAAACATTTTTATTTTAAGGTGCGGCATACTAACAAAAAGTAAGACAAGCAGCAATATATATGTAAAAGAAAAATAATATAAAAAAAAAAAAAAAAAAAAAACAAACCATCAAAGTGGGTTTCCTTTGCTTTGATTAGAAGATGGGGCCTGGGCATGTACAGCAGGATCTCAAAACTAAGCAAGACCCAATACTCCTCTCTATAAAATATGGCAAAACAAGTAGAGCTCTCTAAAAAGAAAAAACTTATGGACAATGAGACAAAACTAATGCCCTCATCATTACTTCAAAACTATACCATGGGACCATGAAATTCCATTGCTTCAATCTCCCTTGGTTGGGGGCTGTATGCATGCACAGAAGGGCGCTTTCTTGTGTTTCTGGTTGGTTCTATTGCCACCATAGATATAGTCCCTCAGAAGAACTCTTGTTTGCCGCTCTGTGATCCTTGTTGATCCTCTGCTTTCTTTTTCACCATCAAGTTTCAGTAGAAGCAATTGCAGTTTCTGCACCTCCAACTGTAGCCGCCCGATTTTTTTAGACCCTTCTTTTGCTTGCTCTTCTTCTCACACTCCCACTTTCATCCGACACTACCCCAGAAGCTCCATCAGAGAACAGAGGACCATCTTCAACGTTCTTCATCAATTTTTTATTGACATCAAACAACTTAGTGATTGCTTCGTCAGCTTCTTCCAGCTGCCCCTTCATGTTTTCAAATTCAATACCTTTGCCCTTTTTGCTCTTTTCAATAGTGTTCACCTTCCTCTTCAGGTCTTCCACGGTTATTTGAAGGTTTGTCAACTTTTGTACATCAGAATCAAGTCTTTCTAGAATCCTTCTCTTGTTGCCTTCTTGACGGGGCTCTGTAAATCTCTTAGAGATCTCTAATTTGTCCATGCCCAATTCCTTCTCAACCAATGATTCTGAAGGGGAATATTTATTCTTGTGTTCCTTTACTGCTTCAGTATGACAGTGGTCAGTTGGTACAGCGTCCACCTTCTGGACCTTAAATCATCAAATCAATGCTGGCATCCTGGTCAGTGGTTTCCCACAACTCAAGCATCTGACCATCAGCCTCTATGGTGTCCCTTCTGCTTATCCCATAGGATGAACACTCTGATATCTGATCAAGAATGATGTCTTTTGTCAGAATTTCATTTCCTGAGCCAGATTTCACGCTTCTTCATAGTGTTACCAACCCCATCCCCCAATTTCTTTTCTACCTGATTTGCGGAAAAATGCCTTTCCTTTTCCACCATTCCATTTTCAATAGCTTGAATTCTTCTTCGTAAATCCTGCAAGTCCGAAACACCATCTGATACCGTGGCCACTTGATCTCCATCCAAATGAGAGCTTTCAGCATGCACCATTGAACTATTGAAATCAAATGCAACATGCCATAAACTGAACAATTCATGTCCAGCCCAATGTAGATAGAAACCAGCTTACCTTCCATAAAATTTCCCAAAATTGAAGTACCACTTTTTTATATAAATATTATATGAAATTTTGAGGCCTCAAAAGTAAAATAAAAGGAAATTCAAAAGAGAATCCCGGAGCCACAAACAACTTGCATAATTCTGAAGATAAACCATATATTCAAATACTGGCTCCACAATTCATCTAATATAAAAAGCAAGTGTTTCAAAAGACTTTCTGGCTAGAAGACCATACACGATGGCATTGAAGCAAAGAACATAATTGCATTAGTGAGAACTCATGGGTGCATATCTTGATGATTTTTGAAGAGTTCATACAGGTTCAAAAGAGGATAGAAAATGTGCAGGACCAGTCAAAACTGCTAATCCATTATGGATAAGGAAATAAATGGAGTAAAGCTTTAAGTTCCAGATAGAAAAAAGAAGAGAGTATTGAAGCTTTAATAAATGGATCATCACCTTAGTCCAATTTCCCATTACAGATATGGAGATCACCTCTGATTCTTCTGTGTCTAGTTTATGAGATGTGGCGTCTGCAAACACATGCTTCTCATGTGCTGTTGTACACTCCTTCAAATGGATGAAAAAAAAAAAAAAAAAAAAAAAAAAAAAAAAAAAAAAAAAAAGCCAGCCAGCCGCCGCGCTATACCATTTAATTATTATTTAAATATTATAGCCGTTCGGCTATACTATTTTTTTATTTTAAAAAAAGGCCACAAATGGCCATACGAGCTTCACATTTCCCTCCCTGCCTGGTGCACTTCACTGAATCAATTCCCATCAAAGTTTTCAAGTTCAAGGCCTAAAAAGAGGTGGGCAATTCCTCATTTGAGCTCTCATGGTGTCTCCCAAGCAATCAAAGAAAAGCAAGAAATATAGGAAATTGAAGAAAAACTTAAGCTTGGTTCCAGTCGAGCCTGAAGCCGCAGACTCTGACTGGTGGGATAGTTTCTTCAACCCAAGGTTTTTCTTTTCACCAAGCTCAGTCTCCAATTACTCTGCTTCCTGCTTTTTAGTGGAATGCATTCAGATTACTTGTAGTTTTAACTAAATTATCTTTATATTTTGTTTATTTTGGAAAATCTATGATGCACAGACATCTGGAACAGGTGGTGAATTTTGTTATGTAATGTTAAATTCGGTAATGATGTTCATAATTAGAGCTCAAAACCTATAAACTGTGCTTTTGTTCAGTTAGGCTGTTGGAAAAATCGGCCTAGGTGCTAGTCGGGCGCCTAGGCGGGTCTAGGCGGGTTTTCTTTTTTTTTTTTTCTTGACTTTAGCTAAATTATGAACTCGCTTCAATTTCTGATGGCCGCTATACGAAAATTGGCTTTTGATTATGTGTTTTGCATCCTGAAAAGAGAGAGATGTGGTCGAAAAGTTATTACTAGAGGGAGCAATAGAGATTTTAGCCTGTAAAAGTAGTATGTAATTGTTAGGAATCTGGTTTGGCCTAAGTTGGATGAGTAGTTGGAAATACTGACTGAATCAGACTTGGGGAATATACAGACACAGAAACGCATAGTCGGGCTTTGCTTGTTGTCATAGACTATGAAGCCGCAATCCACCTCTGGAAGGTTGACAAGTTTGACTTTGTTGTCTGCATGAGTGCCTATATCGGCATTGTTTTTGGCAGCCTTGAAATTGGACTAGTCTTAGCGGTACGTATCATTATTATGTGTGACGGTAACACTATATCTAACAACTTAGAACTATGCATTATAACTAATATTTATTTTTTCTTCTGTGTAGGTTTCAATATCTGTGATCAGGGTACTTTTGTTTGTGGCAAGGCCAAGGACTTTTGTTCAAGTAAACCTTCCGAATTCCATGGTTTACAGAAATGTTGAGCATTATCCCAATGCAAGCAATGTTCCTGGAATTCTCATACTTGAGATTGATGCTCCCATTTACTTTGCAAATACCAACTACTTAAGAGAAAGGAACTAATTAATTAAACCTGAGTAAGAACTAAAGATTTGGGGCTTAAGATAGATAATAGCAAGTACAGCTACTAAGGTTTTGTTGAGTTGTTCTTGAGGTGGTTGTACTATCTTTTTGTTTTCTGGTCATGTTTATGTTCTAGTGAGCCAGAAGTAAAGATTTGGGGCTTAAGATAGATAAGTGGCTTATCTATGGGACTGGGAAAGAGACATCCCACTTTGTTTTGAGAAGGTTTTGAATCAGACATTTGATTTTTATGATGATTGCACAAATTTTCATCTACAAATTGATTGAATAACTAGTGTAGTGCTTCAAGTTACCAGTCGCTTCTAACCAAGGTGCTTTCTGATAGTGCCACCATACTCATTAAACATAGAGACCTCTGTGTGTCATCCGTTTGATTCTAATAATTTCCAAGTGTTAAGTTGGTTAACTGGCCTAGCGTTTGAGCCATAAATTACTGAAACAGTCTCATGATGAAAGAATTGATTGCGTTCTCATGATTATTTGTGATCATAGAAACTGCTTTCCAGAAATCCTTTAATCTTCTCTGATGTATTTTGTTTCATTTGTAGACACACAGGTTGGAGAGGACTTGATGAAGGCATCGTTGTTGTTGGGACTTGCATGTTTTAAAAGCTACAATGGCTGGTTGCATGTCAGCCCCATCCAAAACAATTAAATCACGGAAAAAACACTGTCAGCGGGTCATCAAACGCCATAGAAAGGCAACCTGCTCTGCTTCAGATGGTACCAAGAAAAGAAATACCAGTTTCAAGAAAATAAATAGTGATGCAGGAGCTCGCGTGAGTGACTATGCTGTCAGTGAGTTTGTTCATGTGGACTTTGATTATGCAACAACTACTCACAGAATATCTAAAGTTTCTAATTCAACATTCCATCTCACCCAGCTGCAATGGCACCACAGTCAATATGATTCAAATGGTGTGTGCTTTCTTTCATCAGATTTCAACTATCTTTCAATTTCAACCAATAGTGCTGACAAGAAAATTCATAGCTCTTGAATCTCATATATTGAAAGTTATTCATTTGCAGTAATTTCCAAGAGGAAGCTTGGTTTGACTCAGTGAGTATTCTGGAGTCTGACTCGGATGATGACTTTATCAGTATACATGGAGGTATTGGCCATCAGCCTGTAACTACATATTACAAAATGAAAGCCTTGTGGTCTTGTTTGATTGCAAAACGTCATTACTACTGAAGTAATTTTTCTTGAGCTATTTATTGGAAAAGGATTTTATTTTGTTTTAAAAATTTTCTTCTCTGATTCTACAGATGGTTTTCCATTAGCAAGCAATCCAGTTGGGAATATCTCAAGTGGCCAAGTTTTAAATTCATGATGAGAACTATTTCAAGTATGACTTCGGTTTTTTCTTTTGTCAAAACCAACCTTAACTGAATTTAGACATTTGCAACTAATTACTCTGTTCTGCCTTGCTAATGATAATATTATTTTCTGTTGGTCTACCATCCAGAGATAATGAAAGTCAACTGCTCCGAACTACAATCCATATACTCCAATAGGTGTTGATGTGTTTGTATGCCCCAAAAAGATACATCACATTGCCTAGCACCTTGAGCTTCCCAAAGTGAAAGCAAATGGGAAAGTGTTCATTGTAAACATACAGGTTTTTTTTTCAGAATTTATTTATCTTGTTATGTTTTGTTTGTTATATTTTGGCAATATCTAATGACATTGCTCTGTGCCTAGTTACAGTTGCCTACTTATCCTGCTGCAATGTTTCTTGGTGATAGTGATGGAGAGGGGATGAGTCTTGTAATGTATTTCAAAGTTTCTGAGAATTTTGATGAAGACATCTCTCCTCTCCTCAATTCCAGGACAGCATCAAGGTAACTTCATTTTGTATGCAACTTCATCCATTTGGATAGGCATGTACTTTATTCTGATGTACTCTCCCTGATGGAAATGTGATCTTATGTTCTATTGGAACATTCAATCTTTTAATATATTTGAATGTTGCTTTTAGAAAATGGTTGACGATGAGACAGAAAAGGTTGAAGGATTCGCATAGGACTCCACTGTACCTTTTAGAGAAAGACTAAAGATCTTGGCTGGGGTGGTAAATCTTGAGGATCTCGGTCGGAGTTCTGCTAAGAATAAGCTTGTACATGCATATAATGACAAATCAGTTCTTTCACGCCCCCAGCACAATTTTTACAAGGTAAACATTGAACATTTATGTTGCTGAGTGTAAAGATGATGAAACATAAAAACCATTTTGTTTAACTTTATCAAGCTCTCTCACTTGCAGGGTCCTAACTACTTTGAGATTGATCTGGACATTCATCGCTTCAGCTACGTGTCGAGGAAGGGTCTCGAAATGTCTTAGGGAATAGCCGCGCGGCTATACTGTTAAAATATCTGTTTTACAATATTCTATTTAAGACGTATAGCCGGGCGGCTGTATATTCTTTTTATGAAGTATAGTCGTGCGGCTATACTTTTAAAATATTATTTTTATGGAGTATAGCCGCGAGGTAATGCTCTCTTTTAAAATATTCTATTTATAGAGTATCGCCGCACGGCTATACTGTTGAAATATTATTTTTATGGAGTATAGTCTCTTTTAAGATATTCTGTTTATGGCTTATAGCTGCGCAGCTATACTTTTAAAATATTCTATTTTACAAGTATAGCCGCACGGCTATAATCTTTAAATATAACAATAAAAATCTGGATTTCTCTATAACAAAGCTGAGCCTTGAGTTAATGAATCAATTAGATATGGTATGTATTTACGTTCTAGCTTTGTTCCTTTGTGTGCACTTAGGGTTGAGAGAAAATTTATGCCTTGTTTGTGTGTTGCAAGTGTATGAGAAGTGATATAATAACGTTGCTTATCTTTTTAGGTGCCCTTTGTCATATTTCCTAAATTACTAATTGAAGTAATTAAAAAAGGCTAAGATATTACTTAATGACATATATATTAAATTAAAGAAGTTGGACAAAAAATAAAAGTAAAGAAACTAAGTTTATATTTTTAAAATAAATAAATAAAGAGCAAGAAGACCTGTGCCGGCGACATTTTGTCGACACAGGTCTCTACCATCAACTATTTGCCGGATTAGACCTCTCTCGATGAAAGTTTCCTATGTCAACGAAATGTCGTTGGGAGAGGTCTAATTTGGCAAATTGTGTCGGGATAGACCTGTGCTGATGAAAGTTCGTCAGGAGATGTTTTTTTAAATAATAAGTATAAACTTAGTATCTTTAGTTCAGTAAATTTTTATTTTAAAATTTCTTTTTAGTAATTCAATAAAATATTAGCCTTACTTTCATTAGTAATCATGTTTTAATTATTATTTATTTTGTCAATAATTAGTATTAAATATTTTAATTAACTTCATAAATATATTACCTAATAAATAGTAATTGGTTTTTAATTTTTTTTCTTTAATAAAATACTTAAATATTAATTATTCACTAAGTAAATAATAATTAAAACATAACTACTAAATAAAGTAATTAAAAAAGAGAAATTCATATTGCGATATTTCAAGGGTACAGCCGTGCGGCTATACGTTTAAAATATCATGTTTATGGAGCCTTACCAAAACAAATTTACGTCTAGAGTGCTAAATTGAATCAATAAACATGTGATCATGAAAATACTCTAGTAATTCGTTGACCCACTTGAGAAGTTATTTTATTGCTTGTGTACATATCCACGTGATATGTTGATGTGATTTATCAAAATTTTCTCAAATTATTATAATTCGTGCACAATAGTTATAAAATCCAAATTTTACACAAAAGGAAGGAACAATAAGAGAAACAATCGTAGCCAAAGGTGGTTCATATGGTAGATCCAAAGATTCCTATGAAGATGAATCCATTCTCTTTGAAAGGTTAGAATGGTGGTTCATATTTTTTTTTTAAAAATCGTATAGCCGCGAGGCTATGCACGGTTTTTAAAATTTTTATTTAAAAAATAGTATAGCCGAGCGGCGTTACTCGGTATTTCCTTAATTTTTTTAATAATTGTATAGCCCTTCGGCTATACTTGGTTTTTTAAAATTTAATTTTAAAAATAGTATAGCCAAGCGGCGATACTCGTTTTCCCCCTTTGTTTTTTAAAATAGTATAGCCGGGCAGCTTTACTACTTTTGACACTTGGCGCCTAGGCGCTAGGCGGTTCTTTTTTCATGCTAAAAATGGTCCCTATGTTTTACTCATTTAACCAATTTAATCCCTGTGTTCTATTCCGTTGGTTAATGTTGTTCATTCCGTCAAATTAACTTAGAAACATTCATTAAAGCTTTAAAAATTAATAAAAAATTATTGAGTTCAGTTCACAAATAAATAAAAAATTATGAACACAAATAACAAAATTAAATATAATTACATAATAAAAAATCTGGAAACACAACAGCCTCTATGTCCTTAACCATCTTTAAAAAAAATATTTGTATTCAGATTTTTTTTATTTTGTAAATTGAACTTAATCATTTTTTTTTATTACTTATAAAAATTTCAATGAATTTTTTAAGGCTTAATTATGTACATGCCCCCTGTGCTTTTACGTTTTTCTCAGATTACCACCTGTGGTGGAAATCGTCTCAAAGTACCCCCCAACGTATAAATAACCGTCTCAATTTACCCCATCCGTCAAATTTCTTGACGGTCCGTTACGAACAGTGGGCCCCACTTCGTTTTAACCTTTAAGCTGTTCGAATAAGGGTTTCTCAGTTTGTAACAAAGGGGAAATTGGGTTTAGGGTTCATTGGAGAAGAGGAGAAGAGGGTTGTTGTCAAAATCTGAGGGTTCCTTCGATTTTGGGAGAAATTGGAGAAGAAATCATTCTTTGTAAAACTCTGAGGTGGAGTTTGAAATTGGAAGGTTGTGGAGTAGAAGATTTGGGATGATGGAAACAGGAGAGAAGCAAGGAGAAGGAGGGCATGGCCAATGGTGTCATTGTGGGAAGTTAGCACGGATGCAGACTTCTTGGACCAGTTCAAACCCAGGGCGAAGATTTCTAGTCTGCCCAAAGTCAAAGGTAAGCATGTTTAAGATAAAATTTTCAGTCATTATTTTGGGCATCACAAATTGATAGAGTTGTTAGTGATGAAATTGTCAGTGATTGATGAAATTTTCAGTCATTTTACCACCCAAATTTTCAGTCGTTGTTTTTGGTTGATACAGGGAAGGGGAGAAAAAGGATGTAGGTTTTTTCAGTGGTTTGATGCAGAAATGTGTGAGCGTTCAAAATCGTTGATACCTGGTTTGCTGAGGAAGATTGATAGGGTGGAGAAGGAAAATGCAAATATTCGAGCAAAGTCAAAAATATTGTGGGCTGCTATGTTGCTTTCGTGGTTGGTGGTGTTTGCCATGAAGATGAATTAGGCACTTTGGCAGTAGTTCATTGGGCATTGTAATTTGATACCTGATGTTAATGTAATGTAAGGCATTTTGGCAGTAGTTAAGCATTTTGGCAATAGTTAAGCACTTTGGCAGTAGTTTAATGGGCAAATTTAATTTGAGAACAAATGCTAATCTAATGTAAGACACTTTGGCAGTGTAATGTAATGTCATTTGGTGTAATGTAATGTAATGCTAATTAAGTTTACTGGATATGTAATTTGTTTAGGGGTTACAAATGGTGACATGAATGGTAAGCTGTTTAGAGGTTACAAATGGTGACATGAATGTAATGCTAGTTAGTTAAGTAATGTAATGCTAGTTAGTTAAGTAATGTAATGCTAGTTAAGTTTGATATGTGATATGAATGGTAAATTGAATGGTAATTTCTTGATGAATGTAGAAGAAGATAACCAAAATTCAGTTTTCCCTAAAAAAGCAGGACCTGCCTTCTTTGCCAAAGTTTATGGTGGATATGTAGCTTTTGGTAACATGTCAAAGTTTACTGGAATTTGGAAAGCAAGAGGCAAAGCCCAAAACTAGCAAAAGCACCTGTCATTATAAGCACAAACCAAAACAGAAAAGGTTCCAAAACAGAACACAAACCAAAACAGGTTCCAACCAAAACAGGTTCCAAAACAGGTTCCAAAACAGACCAAAACAGATTCCAAAACAGACCAAAACAGGTTCCAAAACATATATCTTAGCAATATATGCACAAACCAAAACAGGTTCCAAAACAGATTCCAACCATAACAACCTCAGGAAATATGCACAAACCAAAATTGGTTCCAAAATTGGTTCCAACCATAACATACATTAAATATTCAGGTTCCAAAACAGGTCCAACCATAACATACATCAAATATTCAAACCATAACATACATCAAATACATTTAAATGTTCCAAAACAGTAACATACATTAACAGGTTCCAAACATAACAACCAACAACCATTAAAGTCTTCCACAACATTCAAGGATGAAAAAAAGGATCTTTGACAAAATGGCTCCTCTGTTGATCTTTCATCCTCTTCCGACGTTGTTGTACTCGAGATAATTTGGCAGGTTCAGGTGTTTGAGATGGCTGGGATTGAAAAGCATCAGCTGCTTCAGATGGTTGGGATAGAGAAGCAGCAGCTACTTGAGATGCCTGGGATTGAGAAGGCCCTTGGGAAGTGCTTGACTGTTTCCTTTGCCTTAATTGCATACTCTGTTGTCCGCCACTTTGGTCTCCACCATCTCTCCTTCTTACCTAAAACAAATAATAATTAGAAGTTTCCATGATATAAAATTTTGATGAGTGAAAACATAGTTGAAACTGTGGCACTTACTGCAAGTTTGTCCTTGGCAATGTTCCTCTTCCTAGTAGGCTTTATGTTGGGATTTCTAGGTTCCTAATAACCACAGTCATCAAGTCAGAAACCAAATCAAATACATTTAAATGTAAAGCAATAATTCTAAAAACCACATACCTTACAACCACTTCGATTATGCCCTTCTCCACCGCAATTGGCACACTTTAAAGGTAAACCATACCTAGGAAGCTTATATGGATTAGAAGGAAGTTTAGGTTCTTCAACAGCTTGTTTTCTTGTCTTCTTAGGCCTACCAGGCTGCTTGTGGTATTTCGGAGGGAGTAATGGAGGTAAATTAACCTTCATCCACTGATCTTGGCTAGTCAT